ATGAGCAGTGACATCACTGTCAAATTAAACATAACAGAATGTTGACTATTATCCTGCCTGGCTTGGTTATAGTCCATTTTGCATGTTGTACTTTCATAATAATTGCCCTTATTCAAGTAAAAACACACCTTTTTTTAAAAATATCATGAATAGTTGATTTTAGTGAACGTGAAATACAAAACAAACCGTAGGTTTACGCTTCATTTCACTGACTACATGAGTGAATGGTAAGAGCCGTACTGTGCAGCCTACCATATTAAGCACAGCATTTCTTCTGTCCTAGTAAAATCACATAATACTCAGTCAAGACTAAAAGAACCTGAAAATACTGTCAAAATACATGTTTTGGCCAGCAAACACTGTTTTCTCACTTACTGCATATATATCATCAGCAGGTCACATTATGAATAAAAATTCTTGTCTTCTTCAATACTTCAGTTCAAAGTGGGTGAGAATTTGTAAACACACACAATATGTTTAGTGCCATTATATTAGTATGCTGTCGTATCACATTTAAGCACTATCAACTGTTGCCATTTAAGCACTATCAACTGTTGCCATTTAAGCACTATCAACTGTTGCCATTTAAGCACTATCAACTGTTGCATATGTTGTTTGTCAATTGTGATCCTCATATTTCACTGTGTTGCAGTTGTCTTGGATGGTTGCAGTAAGCTACATGGTTGCTGACTAAGGTTATTCGTGGTCACCAGAACCGAATATTAACGACTTTTTTAAGGGAGCATGTTTTACTTGAACCCTTATGTCCTTTCCAAAGTGAGATACTAGTATGCAAGAATGGATCATGTACTAGCATTGCAGTAGTGCAAGTCATGTTAGTTTGCCAAGACTGCACATGGTACTGTCGATTATAACTATTACATTCCAAATTTGATTGTCATGAGATCACTGGTTATTGCTGTGACAAATCAAAACTGTCAACATGGGCGTTCCATATTGTACATCAATCACTTAACTACAACATTGTATTCGTGAATAATTATTCGTTACCCAGTATTCATTATACGTATCATATTCATAGTGTATTCGTTGCAGCCTTATTGCTGACACAGACACACAGACAGACTCTCTCACACACACACACACACACACACACACACACACACACACACACACACACACACACACACACACACACACACACACACACTCACACACACAAAATACTACATAAAAAAAAGACACATGACAGACTGTCACTGTGCATCAGATCATATGATAGTGCATGTGTATACAATTACATATATTTTCAGAGCTCCAGATAAGAGTTAGCTCATTGTGGGTACTGTACCCACTGTATTTTTTTGGAGTGGGTATTATGAATGTTGAGTGGGTATTTCAATTTCCGTTACCCACGGCTTTCAAATATGTGCGTATTTCAGTCATTTTACTCACCTAAGTATTATGTCATCGAGTAAGTTTACTAAGCAGGTATGTTCTGCCTTATGTCATACCTAATCAAAACCAACTTAAATATAATTGAAATCACTCATCCTATACTGACCGTACAACACTTGCCCTATACTAACAGTACAACTTGATAGCAATCGATGTCATTTTCATTACGCAAGCGATTTTTATAAATATATTCTGTACGCATTTGTTTTAAACTTTTTGCGTATCTAACATTTTAAATGCGTAATTGGTACGCAACAATTATTTTTCAATGCGTAAATGGGAATTTTCTATGCGTATTTTACCCGGATACGCAGCTCAACTGGGCCTCTGTATTTTTTAACCCGATAGTTAAATGTGTTTTTATTCATAAAACACTCGTCTCTCATTATCTACTTTTACACAACTGATAAACAAATTAATTGCAAAATTTCTTTGATATAGGAGTGACCTTTACATTGTGTATTTGTGAGATTTCAGATTTCAACACCTGAAACATTCAGCAGTATAGAAACTTGTGTCATGTCAATGACAATGCATGCAGGTTAACATTCACTGTATTAGTCGTTCCTCCCAGCCAACCCACATCCTACCCATCTCTACTTAAGAACTGACTTCCACTTTGGGTGAGTGTTCTTCCTGGACAAAATCCCCTGGATCAAACAAGATTAATGTCAAATGCACAGAAGGGCACTGCTATCATGTGACTTGAGGACAGAGGTAAACACTGCACATTGAAATACTACTGTTGGTTGGGACAGCAGACATAATCATAAGGATAACAGAACGTGGGTGGCAGCTTCTAACACTGAAATGGGAACATTGCCCTGTTAAAAGTATAACAATAAATATTATTTTAGGCCAGACCAAGTTTATTTCTTGTTTTAGGGATTTTTGTCCACAGAAAACCTAAAGGCAGCAGGGGGAGAAGGATCAAATAATAATCCTTCTAAATACTAAAAGTATTTTCTTTTGGCAATTTAAGAAGTGCATATGGGGCAAAAAGCAATCTAAAAAATGTTTTTGTAAGTTTACATTTTTGGCCAATACAAACATTAGGTTTTAATTTTTTGGATCCATAAAACAAGAAATAAAATTGGCCTGGCCTTACTACACTTTGCAATTTAGCCAGAAACCTGGCAACAATGTTGGTAACTTTGGCGTCATAATGTGCTGAACACATGGTACTGATTCAGTAATTAATGACTATTGATTGGAAAATGAAAAATAATGTTTCAGAGATTAATTATTTCATGGTTGATTACAACTAAACAGTCAAGGAAGAAACACTGAGATATTGGAACAACACTGTTTGACCAAACATATAATTTGAAGTTCAGACTATAAAATTAATTGTTCGTCAAATCTATGATGATGATGTGACATGTAGTGTATTCTGTATTAACCATTGGTTACAGTTCATTATCCCAAACAACAACTATCATTTAGTAGTGCTAATGACGTTATTGTCCTTTTCACAAGGCTTTGGTTCCTTAATCAGTGCTAATCAAAGCATGATAATGGTAGATGCAGCCACAACACAGCAACATTTCTGCAAGGTTAAAAGTTAGTCCAGGTAATATTCCCCCAAGGTCAGAATTGGTCTAAATAATGTCTAAATAATTCGGGTAATCATAAACTTTCTTGACTGATAACATTTAAGTTTACTTACAAAGTGTATTGATGACTTACTTACGTGTATTGATGTAAATCAAACTTGCTATGATAGAGAAGTCACCCTTAAACTATCAACAAAAAGAAAGTGTTTCCTTGTTTTTGAATCCTGAATTCCTGATTCTAAACTCTTTTTGTTGTTTTTCTCTAGGTGTACCATAGATGTCGTGACATCCCAGTATTGGACATAGTTTCTGCCACTACCAAAACAGTGTTGAACATTACTATAACTAACATAACCAAGTACTTCATAACTGAAAACTGGCTTTTAAACACATACAGTAAATAACCATGAACGTTTCTCTTAAAGTGAAAAAAATACATTAAGTACATTTGCACATCTAAACTGGCAAAATGCAATTCTATACACTTTTACCTTTATAAGTGATAATACAACTCGGATAACATAGATAGTTTGATGTTCCGATAAATGTCTAACTTAGAATATTTATGCAAATCCTCTATCCATGTTTGACTGTCAATATCAATACATCTCTGTTTTAAGTTATTAATAAAGTTGGGACATGACTCAACATTTTGTGCTTACCAGACATATCCAAAGCCACATTGATATAACACATTTTTTACCTTAACACCCCAGCATTCCATACCCTTTTCTGCTAATTTAAATTGATAGCTGCATAAATGTCGGAATATAGAATTATGATGCTGATTTAGTAATCTAGACCAATATTTAATTATCTTTACATATAAGTTTACTTTTAATGAATATCTTCCAATTTCACCTTTAGCTGTAATATTTGCAACAGATCTACTAAGATGCAGACATTCTTTACAAAACTTATCATGAGCTTGCTCAATACTAGGTGCTGGGTGGAAACCCCACATCTCTGCATGGTTAATGATCGTGCAGTATAATATTCTGTCCTTACCATGTATTGTGGTGTCTTTCTTTCTGACAACTGAAGCATGAAAGTTTTGTACCAATGTATAGACACATTATGCTGTATGCTCTGATAATTCCGAGTGGTAGACTCATTGGCAATTAGGTCAGACAACATATCTATAGATGCCAGTTTCTTTACATATAAAAACAAAGATCTCTTCATCCACACTGTGACAGGAGTTTCAAAAAAGATATCTGCATGTAATACATCATGATGACAATTGTGTTCAGATTTAATTTACTTTCAATGGCTGACAGTTCTGATTAGATGTCAATAATATTGAACTTTAAAAATACAAATTGTCATTCATAACACAGGTCTGTGTCCTGCAAACAAATAACATAGTTAGTACTGGGGTCATAGCACTAAGTATAGTGGGGTCATAGCACTAAGTACAATGGGGTCATAGCACTAATTATAAGTGGGGTCATAGCGCTATGCACAGTGCTATGACTCTTGTAGTGGCTATTTTTGGCATAAGCCTGCGATGCAAACAAATAGATCAGCTGAACTTCGACTTCAAGAATCCAAATTTAACGTCATGATAATTTCTCAAAGACTATCTAGTTATCTGCTATTTCTCTCTGTTAGTCTTTGGCATACCCACTACAAATGTAATTCGACATACCACAACTGACAAGAGGACATAAGATCAATAGACCATGCATGATAGACTGATAAATAACCTGAATGTACATCCACTGGTTAAGATCTACTTATTTCAGTTTTAAGCACAGCATTAGCAGGAAATTCTGTACTTCACAAACATCATCACATTAGATTCTTCACTTCGTAAACTTCATTTCAGCCATTGATGCCACAGGTCAGACAAGTATATACTGTAGATATAGTGTACCAAATTCACATTAGCAATTGTCTTGAATTATACATGTTCCCGGGACAGGGACACAGTTCAATTTTTTCCCAGATCGTGTATGACGACTGCCTACCGCACACAGCCAAGATTTAAAAACACATGTATATTACCATAAATGCACTCACCTAAATTGCTTGTGTTGTCGACAAATCCAAGTTACTAGAGGCCTGATCAAGCTGCAAGAACGCTCTCGGTACCTTACTTTTGCACCGTGACAACCTTGACCAACCTTGCGTCAGGGAAAACTTCAAATAAACTATTTTCTGTACGGCAGATAATATGTAACTGCTCATCAGAGCGTATCGTTCCATATTGATATTTTTTAATGATAGAAGTGCATTTTGATACGTTGATGTGATGCTCTGGGAGACAGGTGGCTGATGAACTGAATTACAATTTATAGTAAACTTATGTCAGGCTCAATGTAATATCTGCATTCGTTTTTGCAGCACTAGCTCATTGACGAGCGCATGCTGTTACACTGGTGAGGATAGAGGTGTGTGCGCGCGTGCGTGCGTGTTAGTCCGCGAATAAATTATCAAACAATTGCCAGTTCAACGAAACAACTTCTTACAGTCACTGAAAAAAGCTTAAGAACACCCAAGATTCGGACAAAACTGCCTTATCAGATCTGGGGATTACACTGAACTAGAACGGGACTACAAAGCACAAGCAAAGTCATATTCGAATTATGTGTCTTAAATGGCACACTTATTGGTCAAAGTACTGGTTGAAATGTAAATATGACTTTGGCAGCCACTACAATATTAATATAGTCAAATGATATCCCATTGCCATGACGAGCCAACGCTTTAACCACTAGACTACCCCACCGCCCCAAAGCAAATGCAAAGTCATATTCGAGTTATATGTCTTAAATGGCACACACACAAATGTACTGGTCGAAATGTATATGATGTTAGGCAGCTACTATGTATGTATACATGTATAGTAAATGATACCCCATGTATGTATGTATATTGTATGTCATGTATGTATGTCATATCGGCGTATGTATGTATGTATGTATGTATGTATGTATGTGTGTATGTGTGTATGTATGTATGTATGTATGTATGTATGTATGTATGTGTATGTGTGTGTGTGTGTGTGTGTGTGTGTGTGTGTGTATGTATTTCTAGCGTTGTCCACTTCAATGTTATCGCCGGACAGTGTACCCTTTATGTTCACCAGTGATGTGATACCTTTCTACTATTACATTAAATAGTATATTTCCTTTTTTTAAATATATGTTTTGACCAATAAGTTAAGAGAGAGCAAACACCTCGTTAGAAATAAAATACTCTTTATAGCCAAAAATAGCATGCTCTGAAGTAAAAGCAAAGTTACAAACATGAGAACATTTTTCAAGTAACATGTGTCTGATAGCGATCTCCAGAACGGTTGGACATAACTGCACTCCCAAAATAAATGAACGAGAGTTTCAATACAATCACCACAAAAGGAGTACTTGTTTCTTGGCGCCATCTTAATCTTGACCAGAGAGGAATTAGTTGATAATAAATGATGTAGTATTCTAAACTGAAACCACCCGAGTGTTTGTGTCAGGTGTTGTCTTTATTGGTTTTAAAAAATTCTCTTCCCACTTGAAGTCAACTGAAAATACGTTCTTCCATTTAATCTTTAACTTGAAGACCTCTTTTGAAGCAGATACCATATGATAATAAGATTTCGCGCCCTTTTTAACTAAGAGGACACTTCTGACAACTGGGCTATCATCCCAAAGTTTACGTGAAGCAGGTTTATTAATTGAAAGATTCTTAGAATGCTATTGATTGCACCCATAACACCATAACGTGTCACACTAAGTGACCTTCAAATCGAATCTTTCTTCAAAATCTGATAATGACAAATAACTTCCATCAACATTACTGAAATGTTGGCGAACGTTGTATATTTAATATGTTTTAACAGAAATCAAAACTTATACTTACAGCAATGTATAGAGAACGTTATATATGTAACATGTTTTAACATGAAGCAGAAATCAAAACTTATACTTTCAGCAATGTATAGAGAACGTTGTATATGTAACATGTTTTAACATGAAGCAGAAATCAAAACTTATACTTTCAGCAATGTATAGAGAACGTTGTATATGTAACATGTTTTAACATGAAGCAGAAATCAAAACTTATACTTTCAGCAATGTATAGAGAACGTTGTATATGTAACATGTTTTAACATGAAGCAGAAATCAAAACTTATACTTTCAGCAATGTATAGAGAACGTTGTATATGTAACATGTTTTAACATGAAGCAGAAATCAAAACTTATACTTTCAGCAATGTATAGAGAACGTTGTATATGTAACATGTTTTAACATGAAGCAGAAATCAAAACTTATACATTTCAGCAATGTATAGAGAACGTTGTATATGTAACATGTTTTAACATGAAGCAGAAATCAAAACTAACATGAAGCAGAAATCAAAACTTATACTTTCAGCAATGTATAGAGAACGTTGTATATGTAACATGTTTTAACATGAAGCAGAAATCAAAACTTATACTTTCAGCAATGTATAGAGAACGTTGTATATGTAACATGTTTTAACATGAAGCAGAAATCAAAACTTATACTTTCAGCAATGTATAGAGAACGTTGTATATATGCTCACTGTGGGTGAAGTTCTGGAAGGGAATACAGGGGCGCCTGTACTTTCAGCTGTTCCCTTGTTTGTTTATATGAGTATGTAACAGTTTAAACATAAAGTGGAAATTAAAGTATTACTCTTAAGCATGTATAGAGTGTTGAAAAATATATAACATGTTTGGCATGATGTGGACATTGAAGTTATACCTTATTTGACAATGTATCAATGTATGGAGAAATATGTATAACATGAGTGGAAATAAATTATAATAAAACACAAAAAGCAATGAATGAAATCCGATATTCTGCTAATGCCCCCATCAAACCATGATGATTTATAAACCTGGGTTATTGGCAACAAACACATTACTATTATAAAACACTGGTTCTGTAATGAAATCTTCAAACGATTGTGGAGATACAGTAATAAAAAATATATGAAGCGCTATATATCATGGTTTTGTTGTCAGTAACATATTTGCAATGATATTATCTTCATATTATCTGTTGTCAGCAAAGATTTTATGTCTACAAACAGTTGAAACTACATCAAAAGTATTGCCTATTCTACTTTTATTCCCTCACCATATGTATATAAAGTGTAAATGTGTGAGCGAGTGTGGCGTCCTTATCTAATGTCTATAAAACACACACACACACAAAACAGAAAGTTATTTCTTCATTGTTTTTGTGCATTGGGGCTCTTGCTACCCGGGGCAAGACCTCCTATTTGTAACAGGGATTTCTGAAATAAAGAGTTAATTTTAAAAAATATAGGTTGAGAGAGGGCTGCTGTCTACATTACCGCAGACGCCAGCTGTTGTGAAAATTGCAAATCTCCAAACTGAAATATTATCCACCCTCTATTATTCATGGCGGCTACCTACATGATATTTAGAAGGGCGTTTTTGCATGAATATGGGAATATAATGGGGCTCCATACATTCTACGTGCGCTTCTTTCGGACCCATTGCAGTAAGCCGTAATTCGAGGTCATTCTGGATGAAAGTTACTTTTTCAATGACTGAACTGGATCACAAACCACCTGACGAGAAACAGAGGACTAATCACCAAGACAAATACGCTAAACATAAAAAAAACCCAAAATATTAATAAAACGAGCCATGTGCTGACAGACGGTTTCTTGCCTTTTTCCAATTATAAAATACGCTTTACTGAAAGTAGTACTACATTACGTCCAGGGCAGGTAACTCTAATTTCGCACGGCCTTTCATTGGTCAGTGTGTGGACTTCACCGAATCTGTGGGTGGAATATTCACGTGAACAGCACACACAGGGCCACATGCCCTGAGTAAACAAAGGACGGGTAAAGGACACTGAAGGCCGTCAGAATTATCGCTAGTCCAAACAGTTTGTTTTTGTATTGTTAATCGTACCGGGCAAAGAGTAATTACCCAGGAACAGCCAGATTTCACTGTTTCAAGAATTGGTGCCACTGTCAATCATCTGTTATTAATGAATCATTTTTGTTTGGGACTATACAGTTTGTAATCAGAAACTAATTTCTCTGCAAATCCTGAAGACTGAAGTGGAAAGCCATGTTTCACATCATAGACATCTGTACAAACATGATAAAGTTGTTGGTCAGCAGTTGTTGTCATGCCGCATGTAGTAGGGTATCTTGAAAAATACTTCATACATTTTAAAAATTATTCAATCTGTTAATACTCTGCTAGCAATCTTGCATGTCTCGAGTCAAGTCAACACATATCCCTTCAGTAGAAGGGAATTCTATAACAAACAGCATGTCCAAGAAAAGTGTGAGAAGAGTGTTACATTTGTGTCGCCGTTCTTCTGAAACCCTCAGCAGTGAGGAAATAAGCTTACAAAGTGAAGAACTACAGAGTTTACTTGACAGTTCAAACATTGACCTAAATCATCCAAGAAACAAGGGTTCTCTTCCCCTGTGTGAAGCGTGTCGATCCGGGAATGAGTGGGCTGTTGATATTTTGCTTCTGAGTGGTGCTGATGTCAATGTTCGTGATAAAAACAAGTGTACACCAGTGTATATTGCAGCCTCCCATGGACATAAGTCCATTCTTCAGAAACTTCTAGACAGAAAGGCTGATGTCAATGTGAAAAACTTGCAAGGTTACCTCCCCTTATTGTCAGCAGTTGAGAATAACCACAAAGACACAGCGCAGATGCTCGTTGACGCCGGTGCTGATGTCAACATACTCCGTCCAAACACATTTGGCATCTCAATGACACTAATGACCTTTGTCCTGTTTGCCAAGAGTGATATTCCATTTGCTGAACAGCTTTTAGAGGCAGGAGTTTGTCCCCATTCCTTTGAAAAGCCTTTGAACTTTATTCTTCTTGAATACGGCGATGACTGTCGGGATTTTATTAAGAAGCTAGTTTATGCTGGGTTTGACTTCTACTGTGATGGATGGATTAAGATGGCACAACACAAAATTGTTGCTGAACTTGCCGAAGTGAGTGACAATGAGAAAGATATGATAAAGTTTCTGGAATATCAGTATTGCAATCCTAGAAGTTTACAAAGACTCTGTCGCACAGTGGTTCGCAATTCTCTGGCAATGTCACACAAGAAATGTCACATCCGGCTGAAGGTGCAGCAGCTGCCGTTACCGACTGAGGTGAAAAAGTTCCTGTTACTGCAATATCTCTGATGCACTGTCTTAAATACAAATATTCTGCAACATGTCTGTGATTTGTTGGTGAATGGCGAGAATAAAAGCAGTGTTTTCTATTGCTTTGTTGTCATGTTGTGCTGAAGGACCCTGGTGGCCCTGTTGTCTATGGCAATTCGCTCTGCAGAGATGCATCCTTTGTGAGTTTGCAAAGTTCCCAGTTCCCCGATTATGTTTCTGGGTTTGTCATCACCATTCTTTGTTCTTCAAGGTCCCTTCAGTAACCCATGCTTGTCTACCGTGAAGGTCCGGGTTGGAATTAATTTTCTGTAACCCATGCTTGTCGTAAGAGGCAACTAACAGGATCGGGTGGTCAGGCTCGCTGACTTGGTTGACACATGTCATCGTGTCCAAATTGCATAGATCGATGCTCATGCTGTTGATCACTGGATTGTCTGGTCCAGACTAGATTATTTACAGACGCCGCCATATAGCTGGAATATTGCTGAGTGTGGCGTAAAACTAAACTCACTCACACACTGTGTTCTCAGGTTTCATCAAAGTGGTAATTGTTTGAGACTGGCTTGACTCCGATTCTTACTTCTCAAACTGACTACCTGGCTCTCTCGTGTGAATAAATATCTTTAGATGATTAGATCATATAGTAATATATTACCTGTACTAAAGTAAGCAAGTGGGATAATTGAATTTGCCAAATTTCCTTGTTTTTCAAGAAAGAAATTCCATATCTGTAACCAGTATCCATAACCATTCCATACTTCACTATTCCGTGATGTTCAGGACATGTTCAATTCATTCATCATAGGAAAATTCAAACAATCAAGAATATTGAACATGACCGCACCAACTTCTAAATGCCACTCGAAGAAGTTAAACAAGAATATTGTTGGACAGGTTCAGGGTTAGAAAAGTTTCTCTGCAGCCTATTGCTCCATGTCAATGGGAAACTGAAGTGGTGGTGACACAATCCCTTATAAACAACAGTTTCTGGTAAGTAGCAAGTAACAGGATCTGGTGATCAGGCTCACTGGCTTGGTAGATGTATGTCCTTGTGTCCCAAATGCTTAGAAGTTAGATCAATGCTAATCATGTCAATCAGTGGATTGTCTGGTACAGACTAGATTATTTACTGACTGCAATGCATGGACTGGGGTGAGGTGGGTTGGTCCATTTAAAGTCAAGTTATTAAGATTGGTTTGATTCCCATTTGGGTACCAACCATTTGTGAAGCCTAGGCTTGCCTGTCATGGCAGAAATGGCCACTGTTTCACTCTATCGCATACAACTGAGAAACGTAGCGAAGAGTGACAGTTTATCTCAAGGTGGGTTCTTCACAGTATAGTACAACTTGTACAGATATATTCTCTTTCACCTGCATTGTTGACAGTGTTTTAGACATATAATGTGCAGGATAAACAACCAAAATCAGTTACTTCAGCAGAGTCATAGACGATACTGCATTCAGATAGAGTTGGCAATTGTTATGAAACTCTATGATTGTTTGTATACATTTGTAAACACATGTACATGTATATATATGTGAACATTTTCTATTTGAGATGCGATAAATGGATGACATACTAACCTGAGCGCGCCAGTTGGGCGACCCAGGTGTGATATTCACAAACCATGAGGAACAGAAACTAACCTTGAGTTATCACAGGTTGTTATTTCGCATAGTCGTCAGCCTCACTTGCTGTTTCCCAGAGTACAACTGAACCTTGTCACTCAAATGACACTAGTGTGGTTGTTAAATGTAGAAAGTCCTTCCTGAGGATTTGAGCCAACAACTGTTGGTTTGTTCTCCTCAGCGGTGCTGAAACCTGTCCATAAACAGGAAGTGCATCACTTGTGTGTAAGGTCAGTCCACATCACAGCCTGCTGCTTCTCCCTTGTGAGGTGTCAGTTATCATTCGAGTCATCATGTTTGTCAACTTACACTGCAAACCACAATCTTCCAGCTTCGTCTCGGTTAAACAAGTCAGTAACTGTCACAGTAAAACCATCAGGTCACCAGTAGAACCAGTTAATCACCACCAATGACTGGCAGAGGATAGTGGAGATTTCTTCAAACTCAAAGTTTGGGAAAGTGGACTGTATCAGTGACTAATATCAGTTTTGAAGCGGTTTGAGATACCATGTTGCAGTGTTAACATGAAAACCCTACTCAAAAACGGCAAACTGACCAGTCCATGTTTTAACCCTATCAGACAGGTGAAGATCCGGGTTGGCCTACAGCAACCCATCGTGTAACAGACAACTGACAGGATCAGGTGGTCAGGCTCACCGACTTGGTCGACACGTCGTATCCCAATTATTTAGATTGATACTCGTGTTGTTGATCACTGGATTGTCTGGTCCATGCTCTATTATTTACAAATCTGCCATAAATACTGGAATACAACTGGGTGTGGCATTAAACAACAAACTATCAAAATTATCCCTATATTGACAAGTACCATGTTTTGCACAAAGTCTCCTTTGATTATATCACCGAGTTTCTCCTCTTTGGTCCGGTGCTCATTCAACTATCCTACAGCACAGTCCGTTAAAACTATAAATGTTCAAACACACCAAAACCAAGGATTTACACAATACAGAAAAGTTACATGAAGAAAAGGAACCCAGAGCTGCTGTACTCATTTGACCCGTTTTATACAGTGTCCCAGATAATGCCTGAAGACAAGAAAACATTGTCCGAATCAGCATTAGCATGCAATGTAGGCCATGATTTCGATTCTGTGGTAAACAATGAGTTTCCTTCATTTTCTCCAACTGATATTCTAAATCCAACATGGCACCACTAAATTTTAAATTTGGCCCTTTTTATATTTTGTTTCTCTTGCAACAGAAACAAATATTTTATAAGTAATAACATTATCCATACCTAACATGTTGGTATACACTATCTTTGTCCATCGCATGAAGATAGCAGTGTACACAAATATCTGAAACATCAGTCACACATGGACCATGAACTGACAGAAGGATCCTGCTTCTCCATCGTTTTATATTTCACTACTAGAGTTAATGTACTCCTTCCCCATACTACTGGCAAAATATAGCATCGAACATTCTCATATAAATTACGTCTTTATTTCTTTTACACTTTTCCATAAGAGTAGCATCTTGTTTGATGAAAAGTTCAACAAAAACATTAAGATGCCTGAGCCACTTTCACACTGGTCTTTGGAATGACACATTCGTCATACACCATATTTACCACAGTAAGAACACGTTGCCTTCAGCAACATCCATGTATTCTTAGTCAGATAAATATGGTGCTGTAATGGCATACAGTAACAGTTTGTGATAAAATGCCTTCAGTTCACTGAATCATGAATGTATGTACAGCTCCGTCAATGTTGCTATGAGTCGTGAGGGTCTAGGCACGGGTGTATTTTCCCCAGATGTGGAGCATAAACACGGAGGCAATGAAGAGCAGACTCATGACTAGGACTGGAACGGGACCACTGCAACAACAAAACAATAATAAATCAGAGCTGGCTTGATAGAGCAGACTCATTTCCATGCACTGGGCTTTAAGAGAATAACACTTTCTGCTTTAATAACAAACTTAACTGTGGCCGACTATTACTTTGTTGTGTCTATCGGACAACTTTTAAAAATTTTAACAATACATTGTATATCCATAATACTTATCCTATCTCACACGATTGTGATTTCAAGGTTAAATTTATTTTCTGTATGTTTTCAGTTATGTTATTACATAGAGTTCCACACTTCCAATGGCATCACATGCAGGAATTTACCATTAATCATGATATGTACACAGAGTCCATCCACTTGACTAACTTATGACCCTAATCATGTTTTCTCAAAACTGGCTGAAAAATCTTGGAACAGCAGTAGAAGCATGTTTAGGGATATTCACTGTGATCTTAGTTTGTGTATATTTAACATTGTCCAAACATACTATAAATCGTAACAATGAATAATACTGTTAAGGAAAAAGAAATATATTTCAAGTGTGACATTGACACTTTACGTCAAAATATTTCAAACCTCTTATACCCAAGTGACTGAGGACATGGTTCAGATATCTTCCAGTTAATACTTACACCTTGATTCCAGGAGAGTCCTCTGTGTAGAATCTCCACATACCCGCACTGCTGCCGGCTGCCTTACGTGGGGCACTCGATGTTGTGGTGCTTTTCCTGGATCAGAAAGATAGTTCAGTAAACAATGGGGAGCTGACACATATGCATCTGTAACCGTAACACTTTCATACTTATAAACAAGACTTTAAACCCTAAACATACCAGAGCCATGTTTAATCTGTGTCAATCACAGCTTATAACTGTCATCAGCATGATTTTTTGTGGCGTTTAGTGTCAATGTAATGAAAGACAACTATCATACCGACTACTGGTCCAAGTTACAGACTCCGGTTATATTCTCAATTATGAACATGTTAAATTAATGATGATTTCATCAAATGTAAAAAGACATTCACAAAATAAATGTTATTGTCAATCTCAGGATGAAGAAGAAAACAAGGTTACCTCTGTCTGACAGCAGATCCCCCTCCAGACCTTGGGGACACTGATTTGGATGGGGCACGGCCGCCGACGTTGGTTGAACTTGCTGATGGCTAAAACAAATTAATCCAGATAAACAAAAACGACAAAAAATAGCACAAATAAACAAATAGATTTATTTAAATTATTATTAAATTTTTACAAGGATCTTTCTTTATGTCATGTAAAGTTTTAAAAGTTTATGGAAAATTGATAAGTGACAACACACTTAAGGAAAGAAAAATCTCAAAAACTTGTAATCTTAGATATACAGCTGTCAAACAGAAAACACAAAACCGATTAATTTCCTATAATGCTGTTCATCATGTTCATAGTAAAACTCGTACATGACACCGTATTATTGTTATTGTAAACTTCACATATTGTAGAATCGAGGAAATCAATGTGTCAAATTTCCGAGAATGTAAGTGAAATTAAATTGTTCTTTCGATACATATTAAGACTTTAAAATGAATTCGACAAGTTTCTCCAAGTAAATAAATTCAAACACTGATGAAACATATTTCCACTCCTGTTTTCTAGATATTTAAGTCGCGTATTTTCCGTATGACTACATAAATAAATACCGGAAATTATACACAATATATTAATAATAATATCCATGCTCGAAATATAACAATCCAGATTAATCTTGCATTATTTTCGGCGAGATATAACAGCTGTACTTACAAGTGCCATGTTGTTTGAGTGAAAGGCTGTGATGACGTTGACCAAAACTGGTGGCGTCCTCTATATATAAGGGAGGTAAGGGACAGGTGCCCGTTTAAATACCCAAGTAGCTAGCCGCTAGAAATTTATTACGCCCTCGAGCACATCCTGGTCGGTTTCTTGTGATGCCTTCCTGTGTCAATGTTCCAGCTCATATTTTAAATCGGAATTATGAGTAAAGTTCTAAGACAACGGTATAAAAATATTTCTGTACTAAAAATTGTGATGATCATAGAAATACGTTGAAAGAAACAAATCGTAAACTACTTACACGATATATCATTTAAACTGTTTGAGTCATTTGAAAATTCTACCGATATACCTATAATTTTCCTTCCCACTTCAAAACTGTGAAAGATGAATCAAACATTGATTTAGTTCCATCTTCTGCTGATTGATCTTGTGTTATACTTTGTCCATTCTTACCACTTCTATCATTCAAACAAAACACATGATTTATTTCTGATAAATAAAACATACTGTTTAAGAGCCTCCATTACGTCATAATGATAGACAGGTGCCATGGGTTTCTGATCCCCCGCAGGGTGGGCGTTCTTTCACCCTTTAATTATGCGAGGACATCATCAACTAAACAATAAACAGTATTGGGAAGGAGGGTCCCCTACAGCCTGTGACGCATCTCCTCCCTGAGGGCAGCTTTCACTTGCAGCAAGGTCTTTGACGTGATTAACTTCACATTTAATGAATACACATGGGGATGAAAGTTGAAGTGACAGTTATTAGGATTAAACAAGGCCTCACAAGCCAGCACTGATGTGTGTAGACAGCAAGAAATGCCGCAATGAAAAATGCTCCTTGCTCTTTTCGCTGATGGACAAAAATTAATCTTAGCAACATTTGCTTATGACATTCGAAAGGATGTGTCCCAAACCACTACGTTGATTTTCCAGTGTATGAAACATGTCTCCATCCATTGTAGATGATAATAACATGGAGATATAATACACGGGATAATCTCGGTATGTCTCCATCCATTGTAGATGATAATAACATGGAGATATAATACACGGGATAATCTCGGTATGTCTCCATCCATTGTAGATGATAATAACATGGAGATATAATACACGGGATAATCTCGGTATGTCTCCATCCATTGTAGATGATGATAACATGGAGATATAATACACGGGACAATCGCGGATGAAGTAATTACCAATGCCACAGTTAACTATCTTTGAGTGGCATTTTGGATTTCTCCATCCATTGTAGATGAAACATAATCTCGAGGATACAATATAGAGCAAATTTTATGGATAACAACTTCTTTATTTCGTGTGTAACATGGAGATATAATACACGACGTTTCGATACAGATTCTTGTACCGTGTATATTTTAGGACCACTTCTGCTTGACAACGCTACAAAAATCTGTATTGAAACGTCGCACACCGTGTATATTTTAAATAAAGAAGTTGTTGTCCATTAATATATCTTCTATAGTGTCACAGTTATCCACCAGATCTCTAAATCTTACCAGGGATAATCTACAGCTTCTATTCTCCCTGATCTTACACATCTCGGATGGGCTGTGAGTGAAAGATCTAACTCATCATACAGGTCATGGTGTATGAAGGGAATGAATGAAAAATTATATACAGTGCATCAATTGAAAAATCTTATCTCAAATCTGCCCTTTCAGAACTCATTGTCAAAAATCCAAATCAGTCCATCAACTGGCAACACACTGAAATCCATCAGTAACTTCTTGAATCAATCAATTAATAAGAAGATAAGTACCCGAGATCAACAGGGATCAAGGGGTTTACCTCCCTAACGCCTGGTGTATCACCAAGAAATCATAGACTCTCAAACCACTCTGCTGTGAAAACATACTCTTGTTCTTATTGTAAAAACATACCCTATCATTGTATTCTTCTCTTTCATCTCACTGCATTGTTTGTACATACTTAATTATATCTCCTTCTTCCCTTGCGCTTGTATAGAAGTTGCTATCCATAAAATTTGTCTTGGATAACGAAGCGGCAGTAAAATATAACACTATGTACATATCCTGACACTGAAAGGTAGACTCGCGCCAACGACGTCATGGCCTCATATATGGGCGTGGAAAAATGCTCTGTGTTGTGAAATGAGAACTGACTGGTGCCACCGTGTCAGCTATATTGCAGTCACACTCAGGTAGTCAACTATATATTGCAGTCACATTCCGGTAGTCAGCTTTACTGCAGTCACAATATCACGCCATCAGGATGCGACATCAGCTGAACACAGAATCTGCCCTCCAGACTGTCATCATATTTCGTCGTCTCACAGTACACTAACAGCTAGTCTCTGTAATGAACATATTTTACAGAAAATAAAAAAATGAATTAAAATTATCAATACAATAGAAAGGAGCCCAGAGATTTCTTCATTTTCAGAGACCCCGAAGCTGTGGAAATCTAGACTTGCGTGGGCTTTCTTGATTATATTTGCTTCAGGGTCTGTATATAACAGACATTTTCAGTATTCAGTATTTCACATCCTTCAGTCATCACATCGTAGACGAAAATGCAGACTTTACTCCGGCTGGGATTAAACACGTCTGACGCCACAGGAAGAATATAAAACTACTTAAGGAAGTTCCTTTTTAAAGTTTTTGTAAACCCCATACTTTATCGAGTGTACTATATCACCATCCAGTATTTTAATCCTGGCTGTAATACCTGCCTGAATGTTTTCAGTTATTGAGATTGTGGTATCTATGGTATCGAATGGCCCAGGATCATTTTCATAAATATGTAGATTTAATGCACCGTATAACAGAGCATGCTAGGTACTGCTTGTATTACAGCTGTTTCAGTTAGTGGCGTCACGTGACACTGAGAACCAGTATAACCTCGAAAGATAAAGGCCACGATAGTAAAGCTGTTGTGAAACAAAATGAGTCCTATGAAATCGTTAACAACGCCGTGTAACAAATTTATTTATTAATTCGACAGTTCCAATTTTTGCTTTTCTAACGGTTTTGGATTCTGTCGAGATAAAGACAGATGGATTGTTTCAACATAAAGACCCGTCTATCACGATGTCGGATACAACAAAGAGCTGGCGATCATGAATGTGTTTGTGTGTTTGCGATGAGTTTTATTGTTTAAACGAAAACACAGTTAAGGTTATAACGCAAAACTCAGTGTGATTCTTCGTTATGTCGGAGGCTGTCTGCACAAGGCAGTAAAGTGTCACGTGGGTTATAGCATGTTCGAAAATCATATAATTTTATTAATGTGTTTACCAATGGAATAAATTCGCAAAATCACAACGGCAGGTGTCGCATGATCTGCTATCAAATATTGAAAGCTCTCATGTCTTATTACTTTTTAATAAGCAAAGGTATTTGGTCAGACAAAGCACTAAAACTTTGCAAATGGTTACCTTATACGCGACAATGGTGGTAAATACGGTAAACGATTATCTTATCATATCTGAGGCCTGTGACCAAAATACCGGCCTAGATAACACTCTACCCGGAGCAACCACGCCAATCTGGATAGTAATAGTCAGAGCACAAGACTTCCGCCATTGTGATTGTGACTCGTTGTGTGTTTCGTTTGTTGATGATTGTACATGGACAGATCGACAACTAGGGTGACATTCGGCCGGGGTTGACTGACACGACACACTGATGGAGAAATCAGTTTATTTGATATTTCTTTTAGCAAGTAAGTTGACGTCATATCAACCATTTTGTGTTAGTCCATCATATTCCTGTTTTGCACCATCACAACTGTCGTTATCCGAGCAGCGTTTTACAGTGGTACTGGATACAGGGCCAACTTCCAGTACAGGTTGACTTATGCCGTTCATACACCAGTTTGTTTGTCTGTTTGTTGACTGTCTGTTGTATGTTTACAGTTTCTTATTGTCTTCCTTAAGCAGACAAGACAACAATTACATGGAACAATTTCTCAGTTTAACACATTGACTTCATTACATGGAACAATTTCTCAGTTTAACACATTGACTTCATTACATGGAACAATTTCGCAGTTTAACACATTGACTTCATTACATGGAACAATTTCTCAGTTTAACACATTGACTTCATTACATGGAACAATTTCTCAGTTTTACACATTGACTTCATCACATCGAACAATCTCTCAGTTTTACACATTGACTTCATCACACGGTACAATCGCTCAGTTTTACACATTTACTTCGTTGCATGGAACAATCTCGCAGTTTTACACATTTACTTCGTCGCATGGAACAAATTCTGTTTTACACATTGACTTCATCACATGGTACAATCTCTCAGTTTAACACATTGACTTCATTACATGGAACAATCTCTCAGTTTTACACATTGACTTCGTTGCATGGAACAATCTCGCAGTTTTACACATTTACTTCGTGGCATGGAACAATTTCTCAGTTTTACACATTGACTTCATCACATGGTACAATCGCTGTTTTACACATTGACTTCATCACATGGAACAATCTCTCAGTTTAACACGTTAACTTCTTTGCATGGTACAATCTCTCAGGTTTACACATTTACTTCTTTTCATGGAACAATCTCTCAGTTTTACACATTGACTTCATTACATGGAACAATTTCTCAGTTTAACACATTGACTTCATTACATGGAACAATTTCTCAGTTTTACACATTGACTTCATCACATGGAACAATCGCTCAGTTTTACACATTGACTTCATCACATGGTACAATCGCTCAGTTTTACACACTGACTTCATTACATGGAACAATTTCTCAGTTTAACACATTGACTTCATCACATGGTACAATCTCTCAGTTTTACACATTGACTTCATCACATCGAACAATCTCTCAGTTTTACACATTGACTTCATCACATGGTACAATCGCTCAGTTTTACACATTTACTTCGTTGCATGGAACAATCTCGCAGTTTTACACATTTACTTCGTCGCATGGAACAAATTCTGTTTTACACATTGACTTCATGACATGGTACAATCTCTCAGTTTAACACATTGACTTCATTACATGGTACAATCTCTCAGTTTTACACATTTACTTCGTTGCATGGAACAATCTCGCAGTTTTACACATTTACTTCGTGGCATGGAACAATTTCTCAGTTTTACACATTGACTTCATCACATGGTACAATCGCTGTTTTACACATTGACTTCATCACATGGAACAATCTCTCAGTTTAACACATTAACTTCTTTGCATGGTACAATCTCTCAGGTTTACACATTTACTTCTTTGCATGGAACAATCTCTCAGTTTTACACATTGACTTCATGACATGGTACAATCTCTCAGTTTTACACATGGCCTTCATTACATGGTACAATCGTTCAGTTTTACACATTGACTTCATTACATGTTTCTACACATTGCCTTCAGTTTTACATTAACTTCATTACATGGTACAATCTCTCAGTTTACACATTGACTTCATTACATGGTGCAGTCTATCAGTTTTACACATTGACTTCATTACATGGTACAATCTCTAAGGTTTACACATTGACTTCATTACATGGTACAATCTCTCAGTTTTACACATTGACTTCATTACATGGAACAATCTCTCAGTTTTACACATTGACTTCATTACATGGAACAATCTCTCAGTTTTACACATTGACTTCATTACATGGAACAATCTCTCAGTTTTACACATTGACTTCATTACATGGAACAATCTCTCAGTTTTACACATTGACTTCATTACATGGTACAATCTCTCAGTTTTACACTGGCCTTCATTACATGGAACAATCTCTCAGTTTTACACATTGACTTCATTACATGGAACAATCTCTCAGTTTTACACATTGACTTCATTACATGGTGCAATCTCTCAGTTTTACACATTGACTTCATTACATGGAACAATCTCTCAGTTTTACACATTGACTTCATTACATGGAACAATCTCTCAGTTTTACACATTGACTTCATTACATGGAACAATCTCTCAGTTTTACACATTGACTTCATTACATGGAACAATCTCTCAGTTTTACACATTGACTTCATTACATGGAACAATCTCTCAGTTTTACACATGGCCTTCATTACATGGAACAATCTCTCAGTTTTACACATTGACTTCATTACATGGAACAATCTCTCAGTTTTACGCATGGCCTTCATTACATGGAACAATCTCTCAGTTTTACACATTGACTTCATCACATGGAACAATCTCTCAGTTTTACACATGGCCTTCATTACATGGAACAATCTCTCAGTTTTACACATGGCCTTCATTACATGGAACAATCTCTCAGTTTACACATTGACTTCATTACATGGAACAATCTCTCAGTTTTACACATGGCCTTCATTACATGGAACAATCTCTCAGTTTTACACATGGCCTTCATTACATGGAACAATCTCTCAGTTTTACACATTGACTTCATTACATGGAACAATCTCTCAGTTTTACACATGGCCTTCATTACATGGAACAATCTCTCAGTTTTACACATTGACTTCATCACATGGAACAATCTCTCAGTTTTACACATTGACTTCATTACATGGTACAATCTCTCAGTTTTACACATGGCCTTCATTACATGGAACAATCTCTCAGTTTTACACATTGGCTTCATTACATGGAACAATCTCAGTTTTACACATGGCCTTCATTACATGGAACAATCTCTCTCAGTTTTACACATGGACTTCATCACATGGAACAATCTCTCAGTTTTACACATTGACTTCATTACATGGAACAATCTCTCAGTTTTACACATGGCCTTCATTACATGGAACAATCCTCTCAGTTTTACACATGGCCTTCATTACATGGAACAATCTATCAGTTTTACACATGGCCTTCATTACATGGAACAATCTCTCAGTTTTACACATTGACTTCATCACATGGAACAATCTCTCAGTTTTACACATTGACTTCATCACATGGAACAATCTCTCAGTTTTACACATGCCTTCATTACATGGAACAATCTCTCAGTTTTACACATGGCCTTCATTACATGGAACAATCTCTCAGTTTTACACATGGCCTTCATTACATGGAACAATCTCTCAGTTTTACACATTGACTTCATCACATGGAACAATCTCTCAGTTTTACACATTCACTTCATTACATGGAACATTCTCTCAGTTTTACACATTGACTTCATCACATGGAACAATCTCTCAGTTTTACACATGGCCTTCATTACATGGAACAATCTCTCAGTTTTACACATGGCCTTCATTACATGGAACAATCTCTCAGTTTTACACACATGGCCTTCATTACATCAATCTCAGTTTTACACATGGCCTTCATTACATGGAACAATCTTCAGTTTTACATGCCTTCATTACATGGAACAATCTCTCAGTTTTACACATGGCCTTCATTACATGGAACAATCTCTCAGTTTTACACATGGCCTTCATTACATGGAACAATCTCTCAGTTTTACACATGCCTTCATTACATGGAACAATCTCTCAGTTTTACACATGGCCTTCATTACATGGAACATGGAACAATCTCTCAGTTTTACACATTACATGGAACAATCTTCAGTTTTACATTCATTACATGGAACAATCTCTCAGTTTTACACATTGGCCTTCATTACATGGAACAATCTCTCAGTTTTACACATTGACTTCATTACATGGAACAATCTCTCAGTTTTGGCACATGGCCTTCATTACATGGAACAATCTCTCATGGAACAATCTCTCAGTTTTACACATGGCCTTCATTACATGGAACAATCTCTCAGTTTTACATGGCCTTCATTACATGGAACAATCTCTCAGTTTTACACATGGCCTTCATTACATGGAACAATCTCTCAGTTTTACACATGGCCTTCATTACATGGAACAATCTCTCAGTTTTACACATGGCCTTCATTACATGGAACAATCTCTCAGTTTTACACATGGCCTTCATTACATGGAACAATCTCTCAGTTTTACACATGGCCTTCATTACATGGAACAATCTCTCAGTTTTACACATGGCCTTCATTACATGGAACAATCTCTCAGTTTTACACATGGCCTTCATTACATGGAACAATCTCTCAGTTTTACACATGGCCTTCATTACATGGAACAATCTCAGTTTTACACATTTCACCTGGCCTTCATTACATGGAACAATCTCTCAGTTTTACACATGGCCTTCATTACATGGAACAATCTCTCAGTTTTACACATGGCCTTCATTACATGGAACAATCTCTCAGTTTTACACATGGCCTTCATTACATGGAACAATCTCAGTTTTACACATGCCTTCATTACATGGAACAATCTCTCAGTTTTACACATGGCCTTCATTACATGGAACAATCTCTCAGTTTTACGCATGGCCTTCATTACATGGAACAATCTCTCAGTTTTACACATGGCCTTCATTACATGGAACAATCTCTCAGTTTTACACATGGCCTTCATTACATGGAACAATCTCTCAGTTTTACACATGGCCTTCATTACATGGAACAATCTCTCAGTTTTACACATGGCCTTCATTACATGGAACAATCTCTCAGTTTTACACATGGCCTTCATTACATGGAACAATCTCTCAGTTTTACACATTGACTTCATTACATGGAACAATCTCTCAGTTTTACGCATGGCCTTCATTACATGGAACAATCTCTCAGTTTTACACATGGCCTTCATTACATGGAACAATCTCTCAGTTTTACACATGGCCTTCATTACATGGAACAATCTCTCAGTTTTACACATGGCCTTCATTACATGGAACAATCTCTCAGTTTTACACATGGCCTTCATTACATGGAACAATCTCTCAGTTTTACGCATGGCCTTCATTACATGGAACAATCTCTCAGTTTTACACACGGCCTTCATTACATGGTACAATCTATCAGTGGCGCGGCATTGAGCAGTGTTTCAGTTATAGCACGGCCTCTCAGCTTGATGTAAGAGGAACGCCCGAAGTGGTCACTTCTTAGACTAGTATCACTTATTACTTCAGATATTATGGGTTTGGATGCAATGTCAAAAGTTTCTCACAACTCCTTATGTAGCCTGTCTGCTAGATATATACCTGTCAGGCCAACCCAGTGAACGCGTCAGACCTACCCTCATCTCCTGTCCCTAACTCAAATATATGTTATAACTAGCGACCTACGCTGTGTCAAACAGAGAGTTAGCCACCTACTAGTGACCCAATATATGTTTGTCAAATATACATAAAAATATAGGAAATCTTTATGGAATATATACATATGAGATCACTCACGAGTTCTGTATTTGATACGTGAGTTGGTTTGCTGTATACAGTGGTCCTGAGCTTGTTGGTATCGTCTGTGTGTACCAGACGGGTAGGTGGTTACTGGATTCTTCTTCCATATCGCCCTTCCATATCCTGTCCTCCAGTAGTCTGAGCTGGTAAACATGTTTGTTGTCCTCCAGTTTTCTGTCTGGTAAACATGTTTGCTGTCCACCAGTGGCTGTGCTGGTAAACGTGTTTGTTGTCCTCTGTGCTGGTAAACGTGTTTTCTGTCCTCTGTGCTGGTAAACGTGTTTGTTGTCCTCTGTGCTGATAAACGTGTTTTTTTCCTCTGTGCTGCTAAACGTGTTTGTTGCACTACAGTCGTCCTGTGCTGGTAAACGTGTTTGTTGTCCTCCAGTCCTCTGTGCTGGTAAACGTGTTTGTTGTCCTCTGTGCTGGTAAACGTGTTTGTTGTCCTCTGTGCTGGTAAACGTGTTTGTTGTCCTCTGTGTTGGTAAACGTGTTTGTGGTCCTCCAATCCTCTGTGCTGGTAAACATGTTTCCTGACCTCTGTGTTTGTTGTCCTCCAGTCACCTGTGCTGGTAAACGTCTTTGTTGTCCTCCAGTCCTCTGTGCTGGTAAACATGTTTGTTGTCTTCTGTGCTGGTAAACGTGTTTTTGTCCTCTGTGCTGGTAAACGTGTTTGTGGTCCTCTGTGCTGGTAACGTGTTTGTTGTCTTCTGTGCTGGTAAACGTGTTTGTGGTCCTCCAGTCCTCTGTGCTGGTAAACGTGTTTGTTGTCCTCTGTGCTGGTAAACGTGTTTGTTGCCCTACAGTCGTCCTTTGCTGGTAAACGTGTTTGTTGTCCTCCAGTCCTCTGTGCTGGTAAACGTGTTTGTTGTCCTCCAGTGGTAAACGTGTTTGTTGTCCTGTGTGCTGGTAAACGTGTTTGTTGTCCTCCAGTCCTCTGTGCTGGTAAACGTGTTTGTTGTTCTCCAGCGGTCTGTGCTGGTAAACGTGTTTGTTGTCCTCTGTGCTGGTAAACGTGTTTGTTGTCTTCTGTGCTGGTAAACGTGTTTGTTGTCCTCCAGTGGTCTGTGCTGGTAAACGTGTTTGTTGTCTTCTGTGCTGGTAAACGTGTTTGTTGTCCTCTGTGCTGGTAAACGTGTTTGTTGTCCTCTGTGCTGGTAAACGTGTTTGTTGTGTCCTCTGTGCTGGTAAACGTCCTCTGTGCTGGTAAACGTGTTTGTTGTCCTGTCCTCTGTGCTGGTAAACGTGTTTGCTGTCCTCCTGTCCTCTGTGCTGGTAAACGTGTTTGTTGTCCTCTGTGCTGGTAAACGTGTTTGTTGTCCTCTGTCCTCTGTGCTGGTAAACGTGTTTGTTGTCTTCTGTGCTGGTAAACGTGTTTGTTGTCCTCCAGTGGTCTGTGCTGGTAAACGTGTTTGCTGTCTTCTGTGCTGGTAAACGTGTTTGTTGTCCTCTGTGCTGGTAAACGTGTTTGTTGTCCTCTGTGCTGGTAAACGTGTTTGTTGTCCTGTCCTCTGTGCTGGTAAACGTGTTTGTTGTCGTCTGTGCTGGTAAACGTGTTTGTTGTCCTCTGTCCTCTGTGCTGGTAAACGTGTTTGCTGTCCTCTGTGCTGGTAAACGTGTTTGCTGTCGTCTGTGCTGGTAAACGTGTTTGTTGTCCTGTCCTCTGTGCTGGTAAACGTGTTTGTTGTTCTCCAGCGGTCTGTAGCACTGATGACGTGGAGAACCTGCTACAGTGTAAACACATTGAGCTGTCAGACAGCCTGACTAACTGCAGGAAGAGCAACCTTCAGGTGGACATCCTCAAGACGTCGTCGGCAGCGTCCAGGTCAACAGGCTTCGTCGATTACGAGGAATTATTTGTTTCCGCCACACAAGCCACGTGCAGGTGATTTGATATTCTACATCACGTATTAGCTACAGACTAGCATACAGACTATGAAATATACTGAGTCAAAAAAGAAACTTCACAAAATGTAATTTGAAAAATAATGAATAATTTGTCTCTGATGATACATCTATGTATCCGAAATGGGATCCCTATCTTTCGACTCTAGAAAAACGTTAGCAAAACCCACTCAAACCCATCCATTCGTCGTGCAAATGACGTTAGTGCCAAATCAGGTTTTGCACGTGCAGTCGATCACGTGATCTTCGCATCGAAGTTTTCTTCATATGCACGTGTTTGATTTGGCCTCAAGAATTGAAAAAACACTTTTAAACCACAGTTCTAACGGTACTTGAAATGCCACGATTGTCAAATGTGCAACGTGAACGTGCCGTTGGCATGTTGCAAGCGGGAAGATCAGTTATTGACGTTGCAAGAGCAATGGGATGCAGCCGTCGTACTGTGTATGACTTGCAAGGTCGTCTACAACAAACTGGCACCACTTCTGATCGCCCAAGGTCGGGTCGTCCACGTGTGACGTCACGAGCAGAAGACCGTCAAATCGTCCTACGTCACCTACGTGACAGATTTCTGCCGGCTACACGAACCAGGGCTGAGATGTTTAGAGGTCGACTGTCCTCACAGACCATTCGAAATCGGTTGCGGGCTGCCAATCACCATTCTCGACGTCCATATCGTGGGCCAATATTGACGCCGTTTCATCAACGTCAACGTCTGCTGTGGGCCCAACGTCACCTCCGATGGACCCAGAGACTGGAATCGAGTCGTCTTTAGCGATGAATCCAGGTTTACCCTCAGATTCGCGGACGGCAGGCATAGAGTCTGGAGACGACGTCGTGAACGGTATGCCCAATGTTGTGTACAGGAAGTCGACCGATTCGGGGGCGGAAGTTGCATGGTGTGGGGTGCTTTCTGTGGGAACAACCGTTCCCGACTTCTGGTCATCCGTGGAAACCTCACAGCTGCTGCTTACCGCGACCAGGTGCTCACCCCTGAACTCGTTCCTTTCATGGCGGCTCATGGCCCAGGTCTACAGTTCCAGCATGATAATGCTCGGCCGCATACCGCGATGTTGACACGAAATTTCCTTCAAAACGCTGGAATCAACGTCATGGACTGGCCATCGAGGTCCCCTAACCTTAATCCAATAGAGCACGTTTGGGATGCACTTGGGAGAAGGCTTTGTGGTCTTAGGAACCAACCTCAGAATTTGCAGGAACTTGGCGCTGCCTTGCAAGAGCAATGGCGCAGAATCCCCAACCACATGTTCACAAGCATCAGGCAGTCGATGAGGAGACGGTGTTTGGCAGTGGTGAATGCGCGGGGCGGCCATACACAATATTGAACTGAGAAATTTCGCATTTATATTCTTGTGACTTGACATTCTGTATACCCATGTTTTGGAACGGCGGTGTAGCCTAATGGAACTTATTATGGCACTGTCAGTGTATCGAGTACATCACACAGATCTCAGCAATGAAATAATAACAATTTAACCATCTTACCATCTCTTGTTCTTTTATAGTGCCCTGAAGAAAGAATGTGAAGTTTCTTTTTTGACTCAGTATATATCATTTCACAACACATGACTCTCTTCCTGTTGTACCGCCTCCGTGGTGTAGTGGTTAGAGCGTCCGCCCGGAGAGCGGAAGGTCGCGGGTTCGATCCCCGACCGCGTCATACTAAAAGACGTTAAAATATGGTACTTGTTGGTCCCTGCCTGGCGCTCGGCATTAATGGGTAAAACAAGGACTGGTCGGCTCGGAGTATAATGTGTCTGAGTGGAGTATTCATGCTTCACTGTGGCATGGTATCTCAGTGTGCTAGCACTACACAACCAGCTTAAGTCTGGGCTAGTACAAAAAGCCGCACATACACATACACACGCATGCACGTCGTCATATGAACGAAATATTCTCAAGCACGACGTTAAACCCAATTTCACTTCACCTCACCTCTTCCTGTTGATTCTATATGTGTATTTTAATAATAGGAACAGCATATATTACTTGAAGATATTCCACGAGTATAATTCAGGTCCAGGACCAAGGTAGGTTAGAGGACGGGAGAGTTACATCTTTCAGTAGCCATTTGAACTTCACAAGACAGCGCATTGTTCTTGGATTCTGTCGTAAGAATATCGATCCAATTAATGTGATCCTCATCCTTTTCAAAACTATTATCATGCAACAAAAGCTAACTCAATATTTAACCAAATGTGCAGCTATGTTAACCATAATCGACGCTTACAAATTCTGATCGACATGTCACACCCTATTCAAAGACTGATTAAATTTGTATCGTCATTGTTACATGTTCTGTATAACCAAACTTGACTTGATCTCTATCCTGCTTGTTGGGGCCCATCAACTGTAAAACTGGTTGAAAGAATAAATAATTGTGAAAAGAAATAAATGTTTCAGTAACCCGCCCGGAATGATATGGAGCAGTGGTGCATGTTGTAGTAGGTTGCCAGGGTACTAACGGGTACGCATACATGTTTCAGTAGGTTGCCAGGGTACTAACGGGTATGCATACATGTTTCAGTAGGTTGTCAGAGTACTAACGGGTACGCATACATGTTTCAGTAGGTTGCCAGGGTACTAACGGGTACGTATACATGTTTCAGTAGGTTGCCAGGGTACTAACGGGTACGCATACATGTTTCAGTAGGTTGCCAGGGTACTAACGGGTACGCATACATGTTTCAGTAGGTTGCCAGGGTACTAACGGGTACGTATACATGTTTCAGTAGGTTGCCAGAGTACTAACGGGTACGTATACATGTTTCAGTAGGTTGTCAGAGTACTAACGGGTATGCATACATGTTTCAGTAGGTTGCCAGGGTACTAACGGGTACGCATACATGTTTCAGTAGGTTGCCAGGGTACTAACGGGTATGCATACATATTTCAGTAGGTTGTCAGAGTACTAACGGGTACGCATACATGTTTCAGTAGGTTGTCAGAGTACTAACGGGTACGTATACATGTTTCAGTAGGTTGCCAGAGTACTAACGGGTACGTATACATGTTTCAGTAGGTTGTCAGAGTACTAACGGGTACGGGTACATGTTTCAGTAGGTTGTCAGAGTACTAACGGGTATGCATACATGTTTCAGTAGGTTGTCAGAGTACTAACGGGTACGTATACATGTTTCAGTAGGTTGCCAGAGTACTAACGGGTACGTATACATGTTTCAGTAGGTTGTCAGAGTACTAACGGGTACGTATACATGTTTCAGTAGGTTGCCAGAGTACTAACGGGTACGCATACATGTTTCAGTAGGTTGTCAGAGTACTAACGGGTACGTATACATGTTTCAGTAGGTTGCCAGAGTACTAACGGGTACGTATACATGTTTCAGTAGGTTGTCAGAGTACTAACGGGTATGCATACATGTTTCAGTAGGTTGTCAGAGTACTAACGGGTACGTATACATGTTTCAGTAGGTTGCCAGAGTACTAACGGGTACGTATACATGTTTCAGTAGGTTGTCAGAGTACTAACGGGTACGTATACATGTTTCAGTAGGTTGTCAGAGTACTAACGGGTATGCATACATGTTTCAGTAGGTTGCCAGAGTACTAACGGGTACGTATACATGTTTCAGTAGGTTGCCAGAGTACTAACGGGTACGTATACATGTTTCAGTAGGCTGCCAGAGTACTAACGGGTACGTATACATGTTTCAGTAGGTTGTCAGAGTACTAACGGGTACGGGTACATGTTTCAGTAGGTTGTCAGAGTACTAACGGGTATGCATACATGTTTCAGTAGGTTGTCAGAGTACTAACGGGTACGTATACATGTTTCAGTAGGTTGTCAGAGTACTAACGGGTATGCATACATGTTTCAGTAGGTTGCCAGGGTACTAACGGGTACGTATACATGTTTCAGTAGGTTGCCAGAGTACTAACGGGTACGTATACATGTTTCAGTAGGTTGCCAGAGTACTAACGGGTACGTATACATGTTTCAGTAGGTTGCCAGAGTACTAACGGGTACGTATACATGTTTCAGTAGGTTGCCAGAGTACTAACGGGTACGTATACATGTTTCAGTAGGTTGTCAGAGTACTAACGGGTACGGGTACATGTTTCAGTAGGTTGCCAGAGTACTAACGGGTACGTATACATGTTTCAGTAGGTTGTCAGAGTACTAACGGGTACGTATACATGTTTCAGTAGGTTGCCAGAGTACTAACGGGTACGTATACATGTTTCAGTAGGTTGTCAGAGTACTAACGGGTACGCATACATGTTTCAGTAGGTTGCCAGAGTACTAACGGGTACGTATACATGTTTCAGTAGGTTGCCAGAGTACTAACGGGTACGGGTACATGTTTCAGTAGGTTGTCAGAGTACTAACGGGTATGCATACATGTTTCAGTAGGTTGTCAGAGTACTAACGGGTATGCATACATGTTTCAGTAGGTTGTCAGAGTACTAACGGGTACGGGTACATGTTTCAGTAGGTTGTCAGAGTACTAACGGGTATGCATACATGTTTCAGTAGGTTGTCAGAGTACTAACGGGTATGCAAACATGTTTCAGTAGGTTGCCAGGGTACTAACGGGTACGTATACATGTTTCAGTAGGTTGCCAGAGTACTAACGGGTACGGGTACATGTTTCAGTCAACTGGACCAGTACACGACCCAGCTGACGTGTAAACACAATGTGATAGACGAGTGTCTGGCTGACGAGTACAAGAGCCTGCTGCCTGACCAGTACAACCTGGCGGAAGCCGTCCGGTACTTGTGCACGAACCTGTTTGGTGAGTCACTTGGCTGACGTAGATGGGAGTAGATCCAGGTCAAAAGCCACCTTGAAACATATTTCTGTAAACTGATGTCTGACATGTTCCTGCATATCCACAACGGTAATCCTACATCAACACCTGGATCCACCCACCCCTTCGTGCCTTCGCAATGGTTACAATGGGTCTTCAGCAACCAATGTTTGTCGTAAAAGGCGACCGCAATAACAAACACACAAAACAAAGCAAATTACCACCCTTTGTTTTCATTACTATTTTACCGACCAGTAAAATGTCGACAAACGTGAACAGGAAATCATCGGAGTATGTGAGGTAAGGCATGTTAAGGGGATAGGGGGGTTAGGGATGTTAAGGGGGTAAGGGGGATTAAGGGGTAAGGGATGTTGAAGGGGTAAAGGATGTTAAGGGGGTATGGGATGTTAAGGGGTAAGGGATGTTAACGGGTAAGGGATGTTAAGGGGATAGTGAGGTAAGGGATGTTAAGGGGATAGTGAGGTAAGGGATGTTAAGGGGATAGTGAGGTAAGGGATGTTAAGGGGATAGTGAGGTAAGGGATGTTAAGGGGGTAAGGGATGTTGAATGGGTAAGGGAGGTTAAGGGATAAGGGATGTTAAGGGGATAGTGAGGTAAAAGGGATGTTAAGGGGTAAAGGGATGTTAAGGGGGTATGGGATGTTAAGGGGGTAAAGGGATGTTAAGGGGGGGTAAGGGATGTTAAAGGGGTTAGTGAGGTAAAAGGGATGTTAAAGGGGATAGTGAGGTAAGGGATGTTAAGGGGATAATGAGGTAAGGGATGTTAAAGGGGGATAGTGAGGTAAGGGATGTTAAAGGGATAATGAGGTAAAAAAGGGGATAGTGAAAGGGATGTTAAGGGGGATGGTGAGGGGACGTTAGGGATGTTAAGGGGATAGTGAGGTAAAAAGGGATGTTAAGGGGATAGTGAGGTAAGGGATGTTAAAGGGGTGATAGTGAGGGGATAAAGGGGATGTTAAGGGGGATAGTGAGGTAAAAGGATGAGGTAAAAGGGGAGGTTAAAGGGGATAGTGAGGTAAGGGGGAGGTTAAGGGGTAAAAGGGATGTTAAAGGGGGATAGTGAGGTAATGGATGTTAAGGATGTTAAGGGGTTAGCAAGGTAATGGAGGGTAAGGGGGTAATGGAGGGGTAGGGGGTAAGAGGTAAGAGTATAAGGGGGAGGTTAAGGGGGTAAGTGAGGTAATGGATGTTAAGGGTATAAGGGAGGTTAAAGGGTCAGGTTAGCGAGGTAAAAGGGATGTTAAGGGTATAAGGGGGTTAAGGGGTTAGTGAGGTAATGGATGTTAAGGGTATAAGGGAGGTTATGGGGGTTAGCGAGGTAATGGATGTTAAGGGTATAAGGGAGGTTAAGGGGGTTAGCGAGGTAAGTGATGTTAAGGGGGTTAAGGGAGGTTAAATCAAGGTTAGCGAGGTAAGGGATGTTAAAGGGATATTAAAGGGAGGTTATGGGGGTTAGCGAGGTAATGGATGTTAAGGGTATAAGGGAGGTTAAGGGGGTTAGTGAGGTAATGGATGTTAAGGGTATAAGGGAGGTTAAGGGGTTAGTGAGGTAATGGATGTTAAGGGTATAAGGGAGGTTAAGGGGGTTAGTGAGGTAATGGATGTTAAGGGGTATAAGGTTAAGGGGAGGTTAGGTTAAGGGGTTAGTGAGGGTAATGGATGTTAAGGGTATAAGGGGAGGTTAAGGGGTTTAGTGAGGTAATGGATGTTAAGGGTATAAGGGAGGTTAAGGGGGTTAGTGAGGTAATGGATGTTATGGGTGTTAAGGGAGGTTATATGGGGATGTTTAAGGGTATAAGGGAGGTTAAGGGGTTAGTGAGGTAATGGATGTTTAAAGGGTATAAGGGATGTTAAGGGTATAAAGGGAGGTTAAGAGGGGTTAGTGAGGTAATGGATGTTAAGGATGGTATAAGGAGGGTTAAGGGGGGTTAAGAGTATAAGGGATGTTAAGGGGGTATAAGGGGAGGTTAAGGGGTTAGTGAGGTAATGGATGTTAAGGGTATAAGGGAGGGTAAAGGGGGTTAAAGGGAGGTTAATGGGGTTATGGGGGTTAAGGATGTTAAGGGTATAAGGGGGAGGTTAAGGGGGTTAGCGAGGTAATGGATGTTAAGGGTATAAGGGAGGTTAAGGAAGGTTAAGGGGTTAGTGAGGTAATGGATGTTAAGGGTATAAGGGGTAAGGGTTAAGGGGGTTAGCGAGGTTAATGGATGTTAAGGGTATAAGGGAGGTTAACCGTTAGCAAGGTAAGGGGTGTTAGGGCAGGGTAAAGGGATGTTAAGGGTATAAAGGGAGGTTAAGGGGTTATGAGGTAGAGGTAATGATATTAAGGGTATAAAGGGATGTTAAGGGGTATAAGGGAGGTTAAGGGGGTTAGCAAGGTAATGGATGTTAAGGGGGTTAGCAGACCTGTGACGGCGGTGTGACTAACGTAACTGTGATGTTGCTGTGATGTGGTGCAGACTAGGCAGATCTGTGACGGTGGTGTGACTAACGTAACTGTGATGTTTCAGATCTGAACGACCAGTGTCTGAGAGACTACATGCTTAACATGGGGGAGTGTCTGCTGAGTAGGGGCTTCGACAACCCCGCCCAGCTCGCGGATAACTCGGTGAAGGAGAACACGTGCAAGTCAGTATACAGTCACACTTCAGACAGCCACACTTCAGACAGCCACACTTCAGACAGTCACACTTCAGACAGCCACACTTTCAGACAGTCCACACTTCAGACACAGCCACACACTTCAGACACCACTTCAGACAGCCACACTTCAGACAGTCACACTTCAGACAGCCACACTTCAGACAGCCACACTTCAGACAAACACAGTAAGAGCTAACGTGGCCACAGTGACGCCATATATTCAACTAAAATAGTTCAAGTGAAGTCCTGAAATATAATAAAAATTTCCCTCCAACGCCAAACAGTAACGGAAATAGTCCCAGCAAACTCCTAAAATAAACTGACCCAGTGACCCAACAAAATTTGAAAAGTATCTAGCTCCTACAGTGTTCCTGGTAAATAACAGTTTGCAGTCCATTCAGACCCTTCACTTCAGTATCTAGTGTAATCACCACGAGCGGCAATAACTGCAGCACAGCGTCTATGCATGGAGTGCACCAGTCGATTGATGAAGGCCATTGGCACCTGGAGCCATATTCTGAGAAAGGCCTGGCGCAATAAATCGGCTATGTTCAGCCTTGGTATGACATTATTCTGTCTCCTCTGAATTTCACCCCAATGATGTTCAATTGGTTTTAAATCAGGACTAAGGGCTGGCCACTGCATAATGTTGACACCGTTCTGCTGTAGGAAGTCCCGTGTAGCTCTGGCAGTATGTGCCCGGGCGTTATCATGCTGGAAAATGTTGGTCCGGTGACGTGCGAAATGTGGTATGACATGGGGTCTGTGAGCTTGGTCGATGTAGCGCACCGCTGTGATGACGCCTCCTCTCCCTGGACCAAGGTTCTGGAACACCACAGGACCCACTCTCTGGTTCAGGCCTATTCCACCCCATACCATGATGCTTCTGCCATCTGCAATTGATACGCAGTACCGACTCTCATCTGTGAACAGAACAGTTCTCCATTCCCTGTATCGCCAGTTTTGGTGTTGTAGGGCAAACTGTAGGCGTTCACGCCGATGACGAGACGTGAGGATAGCTCCACGGTAAGGTCTACGGCAATAGAGGTTCCCGCTGTTAAGACGTCGGCGTACTGTATCAGTACTGATTGGTCTTCTGTGTGTTCCCACTGTCTGGCGTGCTGTTTCGGATGCCTGCATGAAGGGATTCTGTACATGCTGTCGCACAACATGGCGGTCTTGTCGTCTTGTGGTCACCCTTGGTCTGCCAGTACGGGGGCGATCATTTGTGGTGTTGGTGGCCTGGAAACGTTGCTGCAGCCTGTAGATGGTCCGAACGTTGACCTGGAAGTGATTGGCAACGGCGTGTGTAGTGTGGCCAGCTTCAAGTCTTAATAGCGCCTGGTTCCTCTGAGCTGTCGTGAGTCGCGGCATCCTGCTGTCTTTGTAATGTGAATGTTTCAACCAGGTTTGGGGTGCATTTTATAGGGCTGGTCCTTGTGAACAGCACGTGCAGCATGAGTTGCATGTAAAACATGGAGAACATCGTACCATCTCCGAGATCAGGTTGCGTTTTTGAGACCATTTCCTGGGTTCTCTGAGTTTGGGAAGGAATGTCTTTGTTCAGGTAAAGTTGTCAAAAATATACAGTCAAAATATTAAATAGGTTTACAGTTATCCGTTTCTGCGAAGGAAAAATCCAAACTGATGTTTCTTTTCTGATTAGTATATTTGACCGAGATTATACAGATTTTCAACGTTACTTTTGTTGTGCATTTTAACATACGATGAAACTGAGGACATATCTTGCTGTGAAAAGCTGCAAAATTGCTCACGCAGCTTTAAAGAATATTCACCCTCCCATATTACCCACTGACTCTGGTCACCCCAAGTGATTGATTTACGGAGATGTCCGGAGAGTCCGGGGATATCCGGAGCTGTACGAGTGGCGGGAGAATGAAAGAATCTTCATAGCAAATAAAAAACCCGAAAAACCCCAACGTGGATGTATTTCTTGATTTACTGAAAAAGAGGCTTCACAACGCGTTTTGTTTGTAACGAATTATCTGCATCAAAGTGATCAGATGACCAGTGAAGCTCTAACTTGTTTACAGATTGTATTCCTACGCCTCGACGTGTGTGGCAACAACCTTCCGACCGTGTGGCGTCATTCCGCTCAAGATCTACAGAAAGGCTATGACCTACCTCGCGCCACGTGCCTGCAGTGGGGCGGTCAAGGTCACCGCGGTAGTGCTGACTCTTGCAATAACAACGTGTAAGGCGTTGTTCGAAATGTTGTTATAAAGCCTTGATGATACACAACATGTGGCCTTTTCAAAGCAGAGTTGTGTAATTGGTAGACTATGCGAGAAGATGATGTTCAGTGAATACTTCTAATGAATGGAAGAATGGCCACTTGATGGCTTGTGCTCGGGGCGATTCCCGGACCTGCAGGCGGCATGTGTGTTACACCACAGCACATTACAGAGAAAAGAACCCTACTCCAGTTGCAGTCAGTCGGCTTCAGTTTCATTAGGCAATGTGACAATAAGTTGGTAATAAACTTGTGGTGTGACCCTAGCCAGTATAAGAACATTAGAACGCATCAGCCTTTGAAGCAGTCAGTTCCTCCACATCTTTGTCTGTGCATAAACTACAGTTTTAAGTGACATCAGCTTCTATCATCACCTCATCAGCTTCTAGCACCATCAGCTGCTAACATCATGTCATCATCTAATAACATCATGTCATCAGCTGCTAACATCATGTCATCATCTAATAACATCATGTCATCAGCTGCTAACATCATGTCATCATCTAATAACATCATGTCATCAGCTACTAACATCATGTCATCAGCTAATAACATCATGTCATCAGCTGCTAACATCATGTCATCATCTAATAACATCATGTCATCAGCTGCTAACATCATGTCATCAGCTACTGTCATTACAATATTATCTAAAACACCCCACACTCGACTATGCTAAAATCACCATCGCGCCGTAACACCCTGTGACACCATGACCTTTCCTGTGACCCATGACCCTCTCCTGTGACCCATGACCCTCTCTTGACCCCATGACCTTTCCTGTGACCCATGACCCTCTCCTGTGACCCCATGACCCTCTCCCGTGACCCCGTGACCCTCTCCTGTGACACCTTCCTTCAACCCACATGCAAGCCCTTCCTATGACAGCCACTCCACAACCCTCCTCCCATAATCCCGTAACAGTCCTTGTGACCCCCGTCATCATGTATGTATGTTGTGAAATTACACTCTCGGATCACTATTTTTCTACCACTGTACTTTGTAAATAAAAAACTTTAAAGTAATTATCGTGTACATTATTTGTCTCCATGGCGTCATGACATTGTAGCACTAGCGTTACATCATAAGCGCCCTGAAAGTCGTCGACAGTATGAACTGTGAACTGCCTCGTTTTGCTGAACTTACACAACTATAAGAAGTAGTTTAACGCTATAGAATACTAAAATATTCATTGCAAAATTTCAACTAATGAAAAACAGTGAGTTAAGTGTTTTTTGTAAATGACGTTTACACAGAAATGGAGGACGGTCACGTGACCGTCATACTCACATTTAACGACATATTAAGGGCATACTGTTTTCAGGAAAGCGTATTCTAAGAGTGACGCAATTGGAGACATTTTTCTTCTCCATTCCGGAGGAAAGCCAGTGTGTAAATACAGAATACAATAAACGTGTAATCGTCGATTTTTAGATCAGTTGGAAAATGTCAACAGGTTTGGACAGGATCTTCTCTTATAACATCCTCGGTGCCACCAGTGTCAGACCAATCAGGTTAGGCACAGGTGCATCGTAACGTTATACTACTGTCTACACAGGTGCATCGTAAGGTTATATTACTGTCTACACAGGTGCATCGTAACGTTATATTACTGTCTACACAGGTGCATCGTAACGTTATATTACTGTCTACACAGGTGCATCGTAACGTTATATTACTGCCTACACAGGTGCATCGTAACGTTATATTACTGCCTACACAGGTGCATCGTAGCGTTATATTACTGTCTACACAGGTACATCGTAGTGTTATATTACTGTCTACACAGGTACATCGTAACGTTATATTACTGTCTACACAGGTGCATCGTAGCGTTATATTACTGCCTACACAGGTGCATCTACATATTACAGGTACATCGTTATACCTTATATTACTGCCTACACAGGTGCATCGTAACGTTATATAACTGCCTACACAGGTGCATCGTAAGGTTATATTACTGCCTACACATCGGTGCACACAGGTCATCGTAGCGTTATATTACTGTATTACTACACAGGTGCATCGTAACGTTATACTGCCTACTGCAGGTACATATAACAGGTAGCATCGTAACAGGTACATCGTAACGTTATATTACTGCCTACACAGGTGCATCGTAACGTTATATTACTGCCTACACAGGTGCATCGTAGCGTTATATTACTGCCTACACAGGTGCATCGTAGCGTTATATTACTGCCTACACAGGTGCATCGTAACGTTATATTACTGCCTACACAGGTACATCGTAACGTTATATTACTGCCTACACAGGTGCATCGTAACGTTATATTACTGCCTACACAGGTGCATCGTAGCGTTATATTACTGCCTACACAGGTGCATCGTAACGTTATATTACTGCCTACACAGGTGCATCGTAGCGTTATATTACTGTCTACACAGGTGCATCGTAACGTTATATTACTGCCTACACAGGTGCATCGTAGCGTTATATTACTGCCTACACAGGTACATCGTAGCGTTATATTACTGCTGCACAGGTACACAGGTGCATCGTAGCGTTATATTACTGCCTACACAGGTACATCGTAACGTTATATTACTGCCTACACAGGTGCATCGTAGCGTTATATTACTGCCTACACAGGTGCATCGTAGCGTTATATTACTGTCACAGGTGCATCGTAGGTTATATTACTCACAGGTGCATCGTAGCGTTATATTACTGTCTACACAGGTACATCGTAACGTTATATTACTGCCTACACAGGTACATCGTAGCGTTATATTACTGCCTACACAGGTATCGTAACGTTATATGCCTCGTATCGTAGCGTTATATTACTGCCTACACAGGTACATCGTAGCGTTATATTACTGCCTACACAGGTACATCGTAACGTTATATTACTGCCTACACAGGTGCATCGTAACGTTATATTACTGCCTACACAGGTGCATCGTAGCGTTATATTACTGCCTACACAGGTGCATCGTAACGTTATATTACTGCCTTCACAGGTACATCGTAGCGTTATAATACTGCCTACAAAGGTACATCGTAGCGTTATAATACTGCCTACACAGGTACATCGTAGCGTTATAATACTGCCTACACAGGTACATCGTAGCGTTATATTACTGCCTACACAGGTACATCGTAGCGTTATATTACTGCCTACACAGGTTATATTAATGCCTACACAGGTTATATTACTGCCTACACAAGTATATCGTGACGGGAAATAACTACCTTCACAATTATCTTGTAACTAAACTCTTAAAAAGTAAACACACAGGCGTAAAAAATAAAGGAAATATATTGAACTATTTAAGGGTACATAAATCGATTAAGCTTGAACACAGATGAAGGATTTTCGACTCACGGATGAACATATGTATTGCTGTCATTGTCAGCATCAATTCACTGCGGAAACAAGGGGGCGTTCAGGTCTGTACCTGGTGACACCCCCTTTGCACCCGTCACTGCTCGACACCGCCTTGGAAGAGTCGTCGGAAGTTTGCTTGGGGAATTCCTGGCCATTCCTCCTGCAACGCGTTGGCAAGTTCTGCAAGTGTCTGAGGACGATGGTGACGTTTACGGGCGCGTCGATCAAGCTCGTCCGATAGATGCTCGATTTCCTTAAACCACCGCTACCTCTGATCTACCCACAGCATGCTGCTTTCTCCACCAAATCTGTCCACCTGTCGAACGCAGTTCGGTGCAAAACGTTCGTGTCGACGTCGATAGACACGTTGTCTCCCATCCCGTCGTTGCAGGAGGAAACGCAATTCATCGCTGAACCCAACGCGTCGCCAGTTCCCTTAGTCCATGCCTGTACCCTGTTGCACCACTGGACACGTCGTTGTCGGTGTAGTCGTGTCAGGACAGGTCAAGGTTGGTCGAATTCGAATTCCCACTTCTCTCAGACGATTTCTGATTAGGTTTGGTCGGAAGAAGCCCAGGCACCTGCCCCGCAGTGCCTGTTGCTGTGGCAAATCGGTGACGTAGGTGAAACACCCGGATAAATAGGTCCTGAGCAGGAGTGGTCACTCTTGGTGTTCCACTTCTGGGATGATCTTGGGTCGAACAAAAGCGGGTATATCGATGACATAATCGAGATATGGTGCTGTGGTGGACGTCGAAGTGTCTGCAACGGCAGACTGGGACTCTCCTGCTTCCAAACGTGCAGTTGTGATATTTCGGTCAGTAGCATTCAATCTTGGCATTTTTTATCTTCGTTTACGTCGTAAATTTCGTAATGAAATGATAAATTTGGCCTTTCATAGTCGATAGTTTCCAATACATCGCACGTGCATTACGTGGAAATCGTTTTCTGCATGCAATATTTGTGTATCGTTTTCATTTTAACCTTGACGTTTACAAACACATATTAGGATGCGTTTGCGCGCAATACACAACCACGACATGATTAACGGAATTCAAACACAGGAATTGTCTTCATGACGATTGCTGTCAAACTACATGTATATCGAAGTGAACTGCTGAAAACGCCTGTGCGTTTCATTTTTGAAAGAGTGTACATATCATGTTTAAACTGCACACGTACACTGTACAGCAATGCGTATTGCCTACACAGGCTTTTGTACGTGCTATATCTGCCCACACAAGTTTATTTGTAACGTAATATTACTGCCTTCACAAATATGTTGAACTGTTGTAATACCACCTGTACTCATACAACGTACCGTTTACATAGGTTCAACTTGGTCACCACAAATATATCACCAAAGGGCACATAACCCTTGTTATTTGGTCACGTGCACGTGACTGCTGATAAGACCATGATTCATAATAGGGCTTGTTGACCAGCAAGATAGCACGCCAATCAGAGTATAATGTAAACAACGACTCTTAAATCCCGCGTACATGCAACCGACCTCTTGACCAGCCACAAACCCGCTCTGACATACATGACGTAATCGATATCCTCAATACCTGCTTGAAACACGAGTTGGGAAGTCGGGGAACAACAGCCAAACAACATGGATGTTACCGGAAATATTACCCCGCTCATGTTCGTCGTGTGTTCAGGTAGGTAATAACGAACGTTCACCAGTGTTCACGGTTAGAGAAAGTGCGTAGGTTGTTCCTCGCAAATAAGATTTATATATATAATAATATCCTGTTTATTGTCATTTTGTACAAATACTGTTTTCCTTTCTTTGTCGATTTTGAGAATTCATACAAGTAGTTTAAAACATCAGTGAACAAGGCAGCGCCCATCTCTATAAATATATACCACTGACTTGAATTGGCTGGTGCAAAATGGCAGTCATGTTCAGATTTAAACCTGTCGGAGTGTTATCAGGGCATACCAGAGTTGCTGAGCCAGGCAACGCCAGCCACAACGCCTGCCGTAGTTCCTCTAATTAATCCCATTCCTGCTCATGCTATTTACTTATTCTTTTATACGTGTTTTCAACATTATTTTCAACATAACATTTTATACATTTAAAACAAAACCCATTGGACTCTCGAGCGCTCTTTTTAAGTGCTGATTACACAGTTGTCCTTTTCCAACGTCTGTCATAAGTTCTCAGTGGTAGTTAGAAGAGCAGTGTGGGAATTCCACTTCACCCCTTTCGGTCACAGCATTTGTGTTCCGCTCCATGGCTTCCTTTCCGATCGACTCTACTTTTAGTAGAGCTTTCTTATGGACGTTAAGGGTTTTGTCACTTCTATTTCAGTGCCTTTCAGTTATTTCAATTTCCCTGGATTATACACTGGTATGTGTGAGACATATAGACCATGGTGTCGGGGTTATACACTGGTATGTGTGAGACATATAGACCATGGTGTCGGGGTTATACACTGGTATGTGTGAGACATATAGACCATGGTGTCGGGGTTATACACTGGTATGTGTGAGACATATAGACCATGGTGTCGGGGTTATACACTAGTATGTGTGAGACATATAGACCATGGTGTCGGGGTTATACACTGGTATGTGTTAGACATATAGACCATGGTGTCGGGGTTATACACTGGTATGTGTGAGACATATAGACCATGGTGTCGGGGTTATACACTGGTATGTGTGAGACATATAGACCATGGTGTCGGGGTTATACACTGGTATGTGTGAGACATATAGACCATGGTGTCGGGGTTATACACTGGTATGTGTGAGACATATAGACCATGGTGTCGGGGTTATACACTAGTATATGTGAGACATATAGACAATGGTGTCGGGGTTATACACTGGTATGTGTGAGATATATATACCAAGGTGTCGGGATTATACACTGTATGTGTGAGACATATGGTGTCGGGGTTATACACTAGAATATGTGAGATATATTGACAATGGTGTCGGGGTTATACACTAGTATGTGTGAGACATATAGACCATGGTGTCGGGGTTATACACTGGTATATGTGAGACATATAGACAATGGTGTCGGGATTATACACTAGTATATGTGAGACATATAGACAATGGTGTCGGGGTTATACACTGGTATGTGTGAGATATATAGACCATGGTGTCGGGGTTATACACTAGTATGTGTGAGACATATAGACCATGGTGTCGGGGTTATACACTAGTATGTGTGAGACATATAGACAATGGTGTCGGGGTTATACACTGGTATGTGTGAGACATATAGACCATGGTGTCAGGGTGAACACTGGTATGTGTTAGACATATAGACAATGGTGTCGGAGTTATACACTGGTATGTGTGAGACATATAGACAATAGTGTCGGGGTTATACACTGGTATGTGTGAGACATATAGACAATAGTGTCGGGGTTATACACTGGTATGTGTGAGATATATATAACAAGGTGTCGGAGTTATACACGGGTATGTGTGTGACATATAGACCCAGGTGTCGGGGTTATACACTAGTATGTGTGAGACATATAGACAATGGCGTCGGGGTTATACACTGGTATGTGTGGAGACATATAGACCCAGGTGTCAGGGGTTATACACTGGTATGTGTGAGATATATATACCAAGGTGTCGGGGTTATACACGGGTATGTGTGAGACATATAGACCCAGGTGTCGGGGTTATACACTGGTATGTGAGAGATATGTATATACCATGGTGTCGGGGTTATACACTGGTATGTGTGTGACATATAGACCCAGGTGTCGGGTTTATACACTGGTATGTGTGAGATATATATACCAAGGTCTCGGGGTTATACACTGGTATATGTGAGACATATAGACAATGGTGTCGGGATTATACACTAGTATATGTGAGACATATAGACAATGGTGTCGGGGTTATACACTGGTATGTGTGAGACATATAGACCATGGTGTCGGGGTTATACACTAGTATGTGTGAGACATATAGACCATGGTGTCGGGGTTATACACTAGTATGTGTGAGACATATAGACAATGGTGTCGGGGTTATACACTGGTATGTGTGAGACATATAGACCATGGTGTCAGGGTGAACACTGGTATGTGTTAGACATATAGACAATGGTGTCGGAGTTATACACTGGTATGTGTGAGACATATAGACAATAGTGTCGGGGTTATACACTGGTATGTGTGAGACATATAGACAAAGGTGTCGGGGTTATACACTGGTATGTGTGAGATATATATAACAAGGTGTCGGAGTTATACACGGGTATGTGTGTGACATATAGACCCAGGTGTCGGGGTTATACACTAGTATGTGTGAGACATATAGACAATGGCGTCGGGGTTATACACTGGTATGTGTGAGACATATAGACCCAGGTGTCGGGGTTATACACTGGTATGTGTGAGATATATATACCAAGGTGTCGGGGTTCTACACGGGTATGTGTGAGACATATAGACCCAGGTGTCGGGGTTATACACTGGTATGTGAGAGATATGTATATACCATGGTGTCGGGGTTATACACTGGTATGTGTGTGACATATAGACCCAGGTGTCGGGTTTATACACTGGTATGTGTGAGATATATATACCAAGGTCTCGGGGTTATACACGGGTATATGTGTGACATATAGACCCAGGTGTCGGGGTGAACACTGGTATGTGTTAGACATATAGACAAAGGTGTCGGAGTTATACACTGGTATGTGTGAGACATATAGACCATGGTGTCGGGGTTATACACTGGTATGTGTGAGACATATAGACGAAGGTGTCGGGGTTAAACACTGGTATGTGTGAGACATATAGACCCAGGCGTCGGGGTTATACACTGGCATGTGTAAGATATATAGACCCAGGTGTCGGGGTGAAACACTGGTATGTGTGAGATATATAGACCAAGGTGTCGGGGTTACACACGGGTATGTGTGAGCCATATAGACCAAGGTCTCGTGGTTATACAATGGTATGTGAGAGACATCTGAGTGTTGAGAGTCTACCGGGAAAGAGTTTACAGTCAAAGATGATGACGTATCTATAAGCACGGGATTAGTTATAGTGATGATACTTGGCGTCTCAATCGTTATGAATTTAATACAATCCTGAATATAAGCGCCCAGCTGTTTAAGGCGCCTCAGTTCGTTGTGTGGAGTTAGGTCCCCTTGCCACGCCAGGAACCTGTGAGTGTGAGTTCTAATCTCGGGACCCGTGAAGGTCTGGGTTAGAATTGATCTTCAGTAACCCATGCTTGTCGTAAGAGGCGACTAACGGGATCGGGTGGTCAGGCTTGCTGACTTGGTTGACACCTGTCATCCGTTCCCAGTTGCGCAAATTGATGCTCATGCTGTTGATCACTGGATTGTCTGGTCCAGACTCGATTATTTACAGACCACCGCCATATAGCTGGAAAATTGCTGAGTGCGGCGTAAAACTAAACTCATTCACTCACTCACTCACTCTAATCTCACTCTTGTCCAAATCGTGTTTCTTGGTTTGTCGGCGCTCTACTTTTGCTCGAGCATGTCACCAAAGTGATAAACGTTAGAGAACTCCATTACTTCGAAATGTTCTCGCATATTACGTTGACACGACGTGACACAATAGGATTGTCACAACCCTTCTGGGTAAACTCACACACTCACCTATACCCTAGTCTAGCTAACAATGTAACACATGTATGTACCTTTCAGGGATCGGGTGATCAGGCTCGCTGACTTTGCTGACTCGATGTTATGCTGACTCGTGTAATCGCATCGATTATTTACAGACGCCGACATCTAGCTGGAATATTGCTATGGGCGGCGTTAAACCAACGCACCAACCCCACCTCCCCCCAAAATACTAGCTAACTAAATGAACGAAAGAAAAAATTGATAAATAAATAAAAAATTAGATAAGAGAATGGATGCACATGCATAGGCAGAATGAAGGTATAGAACACTAACCAAGGTGAACTATTCCTCTTTCTCTTGCAGCACTGCTTCAAAGCCAAGCCTTCAACCTTTTCGACAAGGTGACGTGTTCCCTTCCCCAGCTGAAGATCAAGCTGGACGCCTGTACCCTTCGTTACGAACAGCCCGTCAATGTGTTCCTTCCGCCGTCGCTGGTCGGTGACGGAGTAGTGGGGACCGACAGCCTGGTGTCTAGCACTGGAGTCGACTACCAGCAGCTGTTCCTGCAGGTGGACGAGAACAAGTGTCGCAATGAGTACGTCTGTCAGGTGCCCGTTACTTTAACATAGACTTACCGAGTCTCGTACTTTGACACATACACACAGAAGACCCATTATCCCACAATAACGATCGATTACATCCAATGGAACATATCTCCTGTCACCTACACATACCCGAAGAGTATTGCAATGCTGATCATGACTGCCTTTTAAGTTAGAGACGGTAGTCAAGTCGAATAGTTTCGCTAGTGAAACCTCATGAGCGAAACTAACCCACCGATTTCGGACTTTTTCCTACACATAGGCTCCGTGAGTTCCGATGCTGTGTAACGCTGCCTCCGAGATGCGGTCATGTAGAGGCCAAAATGTCCCATTCCCGTGATGGGATTCGAACCATGTATCTTCTGATCCGAGGTCGGACGCTTTGTCCACATGACCAAAGAGGTTAATCCGTTGGTAAGCTGACATGTAAGTAGATATACATGGCCAGCTTCTAACGACAATAACATCCGTTGATGCCAAAAGCATGTTATATTTATCACGCGTAGGGTATGATATAAATTTAGTAGGTATGTACTTCCCACGCAGTGTTTTATACCGAACACAAACCATCAAAAAATGGTATTCATCTTCGATGTAGCCTTCATTACACACAGTGCACACCCTTTTATCTACAGGAATATTAACATATCTGCCTGTTTCTATTTTGAGTCCATGGGACCTGCAACGAAATTGCGCCATGGCCACGCGGAATTTTGCAATTGTTAATCGTTTGAGATATAATTCCGGAGAAAGGAGTCCACTCATATTTAGTCGACTAACAAACTCTGGTGTCCGAGCAGGCAGCGGCAGAAGCGGGCTACCCAGGTGGAGTGTCGCTATGCCGTCATGACTCAGTGTGTCGACCCTTCCTATCGCTCCTTCCTGCCGTACCTGTCAAGGATAAAGGAGGGCATGGAGTACGTCTGTGACCACCGTGCCAGTAAGTACTTCACCAAGCCTGTACCGATACACAATTTCCCCGTACCGACCACCCCTTTACCAGTACCGGTCACACCTTTACCTGCACTGACCACTTTGCCAGTAAGTACTTCACCTAGCCTGTATCGATACACAATTTCCCCGTACCGTGCACCTCTTTAAATGTACCGTGTATCCTTTACCTGTACCGACCACCCGTTTACCTGTACCGACCACCCGTTAACCTGTACCGACCACCTCTTTACTTGACAGAAAATGATTAAAGACCTAATAAAATGTCAGTAAGTGAATGTAGAGCTATCACCCCTGATCGTTTACAAACATGATGGGCTTAATTGTTCAAAACGTTTCTGAAAGGAACAGTGTACCTATAAAAGCGCAGAAAGGAGGCCATGCCATGTCTTTCTCTACTTGACTTGCGTTTTATCTTCTTGGAAAGTTGCGATGCCTGCACGTCCCTCCGTCCCCATTCTGTTATTATTGTATCTACCAGGGTATCACTCTGCTGTCCCCTGAGGATATCTCACTGTCGTCCTCTATTCCCTGATAATATGTTGCATCGCTTCCTTCCAGGTATTGATGCCCTGTGTGAGACAGGGAAGCTGAGTCAGGTGACTGGATGTGTCAAGCGCAAAGACCAGATAACCTACACAGAAAACGAGAACTTCTACGTGCAAGACCGGATGTGCAGGTCGGGAAGCGTCCCCTTACCACTTTTTTTTACGCCATCTTTGATAAAGTTACCACTACTACTACTATAGCATGGTGCTGGGGGATAACTGGTAACTAACTGGGCTTGCTAAAGAACTAGAACTTCTATACTGGGAAAGAGGAGAGCAGAGGACCTTTTGGTTGAGAGCGACATGCAGAGGTCATTAGATCACCTCGGGGGACAGAGGACTTAAAAACATGGAGACAGATGTTGTCAGAGGACGAAAGAGAGTGGCATGGAACGTTGCAGGTGATGCAGAGATACGTTACTGGATAATCTGTTTTCAACCATACTGACTATTTGACACCGAAAATAATCTGACCTGATGAATTATTTTTATTTGTTTAGCCTGTGATTTATCACGTTTAACCATTATGCAATGAATCTCCAACTACAGGTGGTTTGTTTCAGGACGTTTGAGTACGCACGTCAGTGTGTCGTCAGTTCTCTTGCGGAATGTGGACAAACTGATGTCGACCTTCATAGTCGAGCCATGGACTATTTCGCGCCATCGTTTTGTGGTGCTGCCCATCACGTGACATCGCTGGCAGCCATATTGCTTTTCTCCGGACTGTCTCACATCCTGAGCAAGATCCTTCTGCAGTAGATACAGTAACTGTTTCCTCGCGTGCCATGCAAACAGGGGAGACGGTTCGTGTGTGTGCAGGAATGTACGTCTCAAGCAAATTAGTTGACTCTTGATCTTAAGAGTTTATTAACATCGTGCACGATTAGATGCATACAATTTTTCTATCAGTGATACGGTTTTGTCGCTTAACTCCTGGAATGATAAACCTAGAATCTACTACGTTCAAACATATCACCTCAGTAAATCATACCAATCATGTTTGAAACCAACAAATAATTCATTCATAGAAGGTTGTATTTATAAGAGATCGGTGTTATTTTCAAATTCTTTACACATGTATTCGAGCTACACCCTTTTACCACAAAAGTGACAGCTAAATAATAACGGAACAAAGCACATGCTGTAAATTTCAGTTCCAATGTCTATGAGAGAGACTCCGAGCTTTGCTAAAATGTTCATGCGTTTACTACCAGACGCTGTTACAGGCAGCTCGGCTGAATTACGACACTGTTGTTGAATATCAAAATGATATTATTCGATTTGCCTTGGATGAGGGCTCTGTGTGTATACCTGCCCCTCCTACAATGTGGGTGTTAGATGAGATTGTTTGCAGAGATACCGTAGGAATCACGCTGTAAATAGGGTAAAAGCATGTGTCATCCGGCAATCTTCTTGTAAATACAGTTTTTGTAATAAAATATATTTTCCTGTTAGTTTTTGCATGGTGAGGTTTGTTAATGCGTTGTGAGGAATGCAGTACATTTCGGCTCTGTTTGTAGATGTTGGGAAAGTACTCCAGCATAAAACACATAGGGAAAATAGTTTCATCTTTTCACAACACTCGACCACCAGCTGTGACATGTTCGTTCACCTACATAACATCAGAGACCATATACTAGATATGGTCTCTGATAACATATGACGTCTGTATGCTGTCTGGCACATGGAACTGCAGGAATACAGGGCACACAGACTTTTCTTGACGTTTACTCTCTGTGTGGGTAAAGTTTTAGGGTGAGGTGAGGTGAGGTGAAATTGGGTTTAACATCGTGCTTGAGAATATTTCACTCATATGACGACTTGCATGCGTGTGTATGTGTATGTGTGGCTGCTTGTACTAGCCCAGATTTAAGCTGGTTTTATAGTGCTAGCCCACTGAGATACCATGCCGCAGTGAAGCATGAATACCCCACTGACACATTATACTGACTCCGAGCCGACCAGTCCTTGTTGTACCCATTAATGTCGAGCGCCAGGCAGGGACCAACAAGTACCATATTTTAACGTTTTTGGTATGACGCGGTCGGGGATCGAACCCGCGACCTTCCGCTCTCCGGGCGGACGCTCTTACCACTACACCACGGAGGCGGTTAAAAAGTTTTAGGGCGACATCGGGGAGAAATAGGCTTATTTTCGCACAGCGCATGAACTGGTGTTTAACTATCATAAATATAAGTACGCATACTATGAAATAATACGTATCGTGCATAAAAATGCATTCATTTTATTCAGAAGGTTTAATGAAATGACACGACCCTGTGCTTAGTGAAGTGACATAACAAGGTATGGTATGGATAGGTGAAATGGATTAAACCATCAAACAACCACATTTGACCTAGCAGGATTATCTGCTGTTTCATTACCCTGTAAACCGACATGAGCTGGAACCCATGCAATATCACATGAAATATATTTAGAATTCAAAATTGCGTCTGGATTCAACATTTCGTAAACAATGTCATTTCTGAACCCATTAACTCTGGACTCGGTAGCTTTAATGGCTGCAAATGAATGGGTACAAATGACTGCTCTACGGTTATATTAATCAGTGCTTGTAGAACTGCTATAAGTTCTGCTGCAAAAACTTACAAATAATCATGAGGCCTGAACACACAGGAGATAGTATAACCCGGGATCCATAACGCCTCAGGAGTGCGGATCACGGTGAGAATCCTTGGAGGCGTCAGTATAGATGTGTGTAAAATCTGCATATCGTTCCCGTATAAATCCTCAGGAATCGCTCCGACATCTTAATGCATGTCCTTAACAATGGAACTCAGTTCATGACAAAATCCTGGCTTATGGAGGATAAAGAAACAGCATATTAGAATTTGTAGATGTATCCACTGAAGTGAACAACTCCACTTTATGCCAATTTGTGAATGTTTTCAGCAAACGGGATCTTGCCGTGAGACCAGTCACACATGACAAACTCTATACAAACATTAATATATGCGCTACTGAATGATTACTGTCCTAAGTGTTCATTTCCATGGAGTATTTAAGGTATATATGTTGACGTCTTGGAAACAGGGGTATGTCAGAACACTCAGGCTGAATGAGTGAGTGAGTGTAGTTTTACGCGGCTTTTAACAATATTCCAGAAACACCATGGCGGGGGAACATCGGAAATGGACTTCAAACATTGTACCCATGTGGGGAATCGAACCCGGGTCTTCAGCGAAAGCTTTAACCACTATGCTACCCCACCGACTCCTCAAGCTGATGCCGAGACTAGAATTGTTACAAACGCTCCAGCGCATTTTCTAAGAGCTCTACATTGAAGGTTGATTAGGTAACTTTTGGAAGCACACTTCCAGATTAACACTGTTACACCGGCTGCAATATGTGATGTTGTTTTGACCATGTAAGTCTCTGATTAAAATACATTGTTACAACATCCAGGCAATGGTTCCCAAGAGATACCTCAATCTTTTAAGGAATTTTCCGACGAGTGATTATCATAGCCACTGCTTTTGAATGGGATATTTTGAAACCCCGTTTTGACCGCACTCCTTCCAGTTAGATACTAAGTAGGTAACAGTTATCTCCCTTAGATGGAATTTGCGACCACAGATGGGTGTGTTTTCCTTTATATGGGAAATATCGGACGTCTCAGTTAATAAGTAATTTTTGGTGGAGAGATAACACGAGAGTCATGTGACTTGTTTCAGTTTGTTCGCACTTCGTCTTGGAATTCATGGATTGCACGATATAAATGGAGACATACATTCTGTCGTTATTTAAATGTCGCAATAAAATCACCCATTAACATAAAGGTCAGTTTTCAGAAAGGAAATGGAAGTAGATTGTACAACTTTCTACATGGTAGCATAGGCTAACGGTAGTGCTCACATTAGCATAGTGAGCTGGTGACCCCCAAGTAGACCGTGTAGGATATATTCTAAGGTGTCGGTTACCCTATAATGGATGGGCACAGTCTAGCTGGCGTCAAGACGGCCGTGAATCGAATCGAACATACTCTAAAAGTATATTGTGAATATAAAGGAGGCGTCTATAAATGTGCATTTCATCAATGGAGATAATAGCCATTCATAACATCTGACTGTACCTCCTTACATTTAGTGAGTTAAAGCAGAACTTGTTAAATGACGGCGTTTAACCTAATGCTGTGAGCAATCCACATACAAACTGAGCGAATCTAGATTCTTGAAGGCCCAAGGCATGCAATTCACCACGGAGCAATTATTTCACGTTCTCGACTCACATCACGTTACATCTTCATGGAAGCAATACTTCTTCACTCTGAAAGGCACCTGTTGCTGGTATGCAAACAACTCTATAACATGTTCTGCACCTCTCATCTCTTCAAACTCCAGGTGTCGTTTATCGTTTTCGCAAAATGTTGTCCAGTTGAATTAAGATGCTTACGACTACAGGTTCCACGCAAGTTACAACAAACCAGGTCAGTATGTTGTTATACGTTTATTATGTATGATGTCAGGTAACATCGGTTTGGTATTCTGTACAATATATTGAATACTGTCATAACCTCTCTCGCACACAGACCTTGTAGTTGCACAGTACAGTTTCAACACAGATGGCTGCTACTGCTGTTGTTGCTGCAGGACCCCGATCTCATGTATATTCAGTCACACCATTCAAGATAGCCACTAACAGGCATGCTGGGTATTGAAGCGTGCATACTGGCTGACGTAGCCGGACGTTGTACATACACAAGTGCATATCATTAAAGGAAACGCAATTAGAATATTGTTAAATTGTCTTTGGTCACTTCCGGGAAGCACTATTGCACACCAAAAATGCTAACACATGAAATCAGATGAAATGGTAAAAGCTGTTACTTTACATCCCCACAGCAGGAATACTGAAGAACTGGAGCAGCAGCAGCAGCAGCAGCAGCAACCTCCTCCTCACCACCAACTCCGCACACGATGTCACACTACAGTCAAGAGGCTGTCCACGTAGAAATCATTCAGGTATAAAAAGACTCCAGTAGACAATACTCAAAATCATATTCACACAAACTTACAAAATATTACAAATCAATAAAAACAAAAATCTCTCCCAACAAATTGTATAACTTAAATTAGATAATGATGTTTTAAGGAGAGGTGACTCCATGATGTGTTCATCCATCCTAAAATGCAAAGTGAGTATCTCCCATAGGAAGGCATGAACAGTCCATAACCCTTTCCATGCAAGAATGTCACAAAACAGGTGAAAAAGGACTAACATAATCCATGTCAATATGGCATGTGAGCTGTAAGGCTCTGGACAATTCTGTTGGTCGTCTAGAACCTAAATTGCCAGAAATCACAGATGACAACAACCCTTCAAGGCTTTGTGTTTCATTCACTGAATGGCATTCAAGCTTTTGTTGAGACTATCACATTCCACACCATTAGTACATCCACAACATAGAAGCTACCCGTGCAACGTGTAACATAGTACAATATTTCCTGTTTGGGTGACCCACCTCCCCCAACCCAGTGACTTCTTTCTTGTAGTCTTATTCAGATGTAAAGCTTACAAGAAAACAGAACTGCCTCCAGGGCACAGGGCATCTCTGAGGACTATCATTTGGGACCTGTTCCACAAAATGAACCTAATGCTAAGGTGAACTTAACTCCAAAACTTCAAACAGTTGTACTCTAGCACTAAGATCACTCCGTGGATTGGTCCCAAAGGGCTGTTAAAAACAGGGATATCAGCACCAGTCATAAATCTTTAAAAAGTGAATGTTGATGATCACTTAAGATGAGTCTTCAAGAGCGTCCTGGGAACCAAGCATAGTCAGGATTTGATTGGAAGTACAATGATCTAGACATCTTCCTCATCCCATAATTAACACTAAGACATTTCAGTTGACAATGTCTTTGCATGAACTCTTCATCTTTGTTAGCGACACCTCCAAGATTCCTCTCAAGCACCTTGCAGCTACTTGCTATTGATAAATACTAACCAAACATTCTAAACAGTATTCCTTGAAGTAAATATCAACCATGAACTTCCATTAAACAACTCAGAGTTTAAAAAGCATAGGGTTTTGTGATAATTCAAGGTATACAAAATAATCCTCTTGCTCTTTGCGACAAAACTTGTACCCTTGTGTTGTCAGCTTGTCGGTCTCCTACAGCAGTAGGTATCACAAATGCACAACATGCATTAACATAAGCCTCTCAGCTCACAGCACTGGGATCCCCCATATTGCAAACTATCTGTAAAACCTATAGAAACGTACAACATAAAGTGAGGTGTTGCTCTCAGATCACTTACACAGTATCATGCATGCAGGGACCACCTGGTTGTGGCAGCCTTCCCCTCTCTCCAACAGGTGCTTGATCTCAGATCACTTACACAGTATCATGCATGCAGGGACCACCTAGTTGTGGCAGCCTTCCCCTCTCTCCAACAGATGCTTGATCTCAGATCACTTACACGGCATCATGCATGCAGGGACCACCTGGTTGTGGCAGCCTTCCCCTCTCTCCAACAGGTGCTTGATCTCAGATCACTTACACAGTATCATGCATGCAGGGACCACCTGGTTGTGGCTGCCCTCCCCTCTCTCCAACAGGTGCTTGATCTCAGATCACTTACACAGCATCATGCATTCAGGGACCACCTGGTTGTGGCTGCCCTCCCCTCTCTCCAGCAGGTGCTTGACCAAAGGGTATCACCAACATTACATATCCCCGGTGTAGATTTCATTCCTTAAATCTTCTTCTTTTGAACTATCGCTATATTTTTGTCAGCATGACTAGTTGCAGAGTTTCCAAATATCCACACATTACTATCCCTTAGTCGGAACCCACTGAATAAGTGTAGGATAACAGTGAGCGAGTCATTGTGTGTAATTATACTGCAACAGTATACCAGTTATATCATGACAACTCAGCTTGGGAGGAGAGTACAAAAGTGATGCAGGTCTCAGCATTTATCACTTTGGTGAAACCCACAAGCAGATGTATGGTCCTGACAAACCTGGAAACATAACCAGGGTAAACCAGGATTAGAACCCTCAGTCATAGGTTCCTGGCATAACCCAAGGGATGCAACTCTGCAGTGATTTGCACTGTCTCAGACTGGGACCCCTGTAAGCCAACACATTAAACATGTAAATGACTTAATTGTTGAGTCCATGGTTTAAAGGAATACCATGTCATTGCATATTCTTCTCATCCGCCCCTCAGAAAATAATTTGTTTTACAATAATTATTGAAGTAAAGAATTGACAGGTTAACATATAAGGAAGAAAGCAAACAAAAGCAGTTGAGTTTACAAAACTGACAGTGGCCATTGTTTTGTCTGAATATATCTGCCCAATTCACTGTTGTCAACTTTCTCCAACAGGTGCTTGAGACAAATCAACATCAAATTCCTTGACCATTTAAAACTTAACAAGCATCACATCTTATTCTAATAAGATCTTATGAAATTACAAGAATACAGTATCAGTCTGAAAAATACACCTCCAGTTTAACAAATATAGTTGTACAATTTGCCATTAACTGCAGCATCAGAGGTAGACAAATCCTGCACTTGTCCTTGTGTTGTAAGATCCTCTCATAACCTGGCATCTGAAGTCCTAGCAGAGGTAGAGAGAGAGAGGAAAGCCCAATAACTATTGACCAGACAGCCTTTTTGACCAGCCCATGTAGTGGTGTCTAGTAGACAGTTTTCCCACCCAGTTATGGTGGTCGTGTCTAGTAGCTATTGTGTCTAATTTTCTATATCCATCTGTCATAAGCTTTCGTCACTCTCAATGGCCTGCAGATCAGGGTCCATGTTGGACGATGTGCTCTGCGAGGCACCCTCCTGGCCATCTTCCAGCCCTGCTCCTTCTTCCATACCTGAAATAGTTGAAGGGGAATAGTATCACACTTACAAGGACTCCTGTGAGAACAATACTTTCCATCTTGAGAAATCCACTGCCTTTGATTCATAAAGTAAAGCACTAAACCCAATGAAAAATGCACTGGAAATTGTCTTTCATGAAACTAATTTAGATTTCTTTGTCCAAACTGTCTTTCTCCATGGAGGAGGGTGTTACATAGCAAGTTATAGCAGTGTAATCAAAGTAAAAGTATATGTTGTAACTGAATATTCAGTAGAGGGCAGTTGTGCGCACACTGTTATATTCAGAGGATTTGGGGGCCAAGGGTCATCTGGAATCTTCTACAATGGCATGTATTTATTCAGTGCTGTATTGGTACTAGTACGTTTCGTGGAAGACATGCATCTAACATTACATCAACAACAGCTGGAGAACCAACCTTGTCCTACTGATGAGTGAGTGAGTATGGTTTTACACAGTTTTTAGCAGTATTTCAGCAATATCACAGCAGGGACACCAGAAATGGGTTTCACACATTATACCCATGTGGGGAATCGAATGCGGGTCTTCGGCATGATGAGCAAACGCTTTAACCACTAGGCTACCCCCCCCCACCCTTCTCCTGATGAAGCACGACCACTGTTGCTGCCAGGTGTACTATGTCTGACGATATTGCCACTACCATTATAAACACTTCTGTCAGTCTATTGTGTACTGACATTGTAATTACTCTGTAACAACTGGTATTGATTCATAAACCATGTTAATTTAATACAGTTGTTTATTAACATCTTTTTACAACTCGTTTCAACTTGGAAATCAACACGTAACAGTCTGGATACTTGGATATCAACCAATGTAGTTCATTTTGTTCAGTGGACCCAGATACCTACATAGCTAGCTGATTATTCCTCATGATCATCCATTCCAGGAGTGTTCTTTGTGAATCAGCCTGCCATTTATCAACTCTTTGAACAAGTTGATTTGTTTTTGTATAACTGACTGACTGACTGACTGAGTTTAGTTTTACGCCGCTTTTAGCAATATTCCAGCAATATCACGGCGGGGGACACCAGAAATGGGCTTAACACATTGTGCCCATGTGGGGAATCGAACCCGGGTCTTCGGCGTGACGAGCCAACGCTTTAACCACTAGGCTACCCCACCACCCCTGTTTTTGTATAATGCCACTGTGAGCAATATCATTGCTAAAAGACCTTGGTCAGTAAATAATCAAGTCTGGACCAGACAATCCAGTGACTGACATCATGAGCAACAATCTGGACAACTGGGACAACACACATCAAGTCAGGAACCATCACAAACTGACTCTGTAAGTTGCCTTTTAGGACAAGCATGGCTTGTTGATGGTCAGTATTGACCCAGATCATCACAAGTAAAATTTTGGGCATGATTAAGTGTCCCTGCTTACTGAAACATGCAACGTACCTGTTTCATTGAGGCGAGAGAGTGGGTCATCCTCCTCTGGGACATACAGCTTATCAATGGCCTCTTTGATCTGGTTGTTGATACCTTTAGGATCCAGGTCCATTGCCCAGGAGAAGTTCATCAATGCCAGGTGGGTGTTACCCAACTTTTTATGGACCTATATCACACAGTAAGCATGTTTTTAAACAAAATTGCTCTGTAGCTGTGGTAAAATATATTCACTTAGGTTAACATTTAAAGTGATTGTCTATGGTTATCAAAACGAACTCAGTTTGACTATTTTTAAGGGCTCTAGGCACTTTGTACGCTAAACACAGTATTGATATGTTAATCTTGTTAACTCAAGGTACGAATACACAATGCCATTTAGAAAGTGTCCAATGTAAAACGTTATATTTGGGATTACACTTTCTCAATAAAGTACAGATTCTTGTACTTTTGTTGAGTTGTGCCCCGCCTGGGATTCGAACCTACACCCTCAGAGTCAGGCACTAAATCAAAAGCACACAAAGTCAGCCGCCTAGCCCACTCAGTCACTTTGACTTCCATAAAAATGGAATCCAAACAACTGGTAGTCTATACCACAGACTTTGTGTACCCCCTTAAAAAAGTTAAAAACTTAGGTACACAGCAAATTTAACACTTGATCCCAAAGTTCCAGTATTAGACTGAGATTCATGGTATCGTCAACTAACCAATTAAATTCAAAAGGCATTCAGACATCAACTGATTCAAACAGCAATGACCAGATTCGAATTGCTTGTCAGACACCAACTCACCTTTCCAATAAGGAAATAAACAAGAGATTCCTTAGGAATGATCATTTTCAGCTCTTCTAACTCTTCTAAAGCTTCCTGAAATGAGACAATGAAGTCAGACATTAAGCAGCTTAGGAGAACAAAGGAACACATGTCGCTACATTTATCCTGCAGCTACTGTACTTACCATGTGCTTGTCATTAGCAAACATTATGGAAGCCCGGTGGAACTTGCATAGAGGATTTTTGGGATCTGCACTGATGGCTATGTTCAGAGTCTGCAGGGCTGACTCCGACTTCTGCTGGGCATGTTGCACCTGAGGAAAGTAACAGTGTATATACTGGTCACACACATCAGCTAGACTCAAGTACACACACAAAGCAAATGCTATACGGGGTACACACACAAAGCAGATGCTATACTGGGCCCATATACAACACAGACGCTATACTGGGTCCACACACAAGGCAGATGCTATACTGGGTCCACACACAAAGCAGATGCTATACTGGGTCCACACACAACACAGATGCTATACTGGGTCCACACACAACACAGATGCTATACTGGGTCCACACACAACACAGATGCTATACTGGGTCCACACACAACACAGATGCTATACTGGGTCCACACACAACACAGATGCTATACTGGGTCCACACACAACACAGATGCTATACTGGGTCCACACACAGAATGCTGGGTACACACACAGATGCTATACTGGGTCCACACAACACAGACGCTATACTGGGTCCACACACAACACACACACACAGATGCTATACTGGGTCCACACACAACACAGCAGCTATACTGGGTCCACACATGCTATACTGGGTCCACACACAACACAGATGCTATACTGGGTCCACACACAACACAGATGCTATACTGGGTACACACACAACACAGATGCTATACTGGGTCCACACACAACACAGGCGCTAGATGCACATACTGGGTCCACACACAACAACACCACACTAACACAGACGGCTATACTGGGTCCACACACAACACAGATGCTATACTGGGTCCACACACACACAGGGTATACTCACAACACAGATGCTATACTGGGTCCACCACACACAACACAGATGCTATACTGGGTCCACACACAACACAGATGCTATACTGGGTCCACACACAACACACATGATGCTATACTGGGTCCACACACAACACAGATGCTATACTGGGTCCACACACAACACAGATGCTATACTGGGTCCACACACAGATGCTATACTGGGTCCACACACAACTAACAGATGCTATACTGGGTAAACACACACACAACACAGATGCTATACTGGGTCCACACACAACACAGATGCTATACTGGGTCCACACACAACACAGATGCTATACTGGGTACACACACAACACAGATGCTATACTGGGTCCACACACAACACAGATGCTATACTGGGTCCACACACAACACAGATGCTATACTGGGTCCACACACAACACAGATGCTATACTGGGTCCACACACACACAGATGCTATACTGGGTCCACACACAACACAGATGCTATACTGGGTCCACACACAACACAGATGCTATACTGGGTCCACACACAACACAGATGCTATACTGGGTCCACACACAACACAGATGCTATACTGGGTCCACACACAACACAGATGCTATACTGGGTCCACACACAACACAGATGCTATACTGGGTCCACAACACAGATGCTGTATCCACACACTGGGTCACACAACACAGATGCTATACTGGGTCCACACAACACAGACGCTATATAACTGATGCTATTACACACACAACACAGATGCTATACTGGGTCCACACACAACACAGACGCCATACTGGGTCCACACACTGACACTGACCCCACAAAGCTACAATATCTCACTGTTAACTACTTACCACACCAACATGACACAGGAGCGCAGAACTCTGTGGGTTGATCTTTAAGGCTTTACTGAAATGGACTTCGGCTAAGCTGAATTTTTCTTGTTTGTAAAAAATCATACCAACACCATACCTGCAACAAAATATTTTCTATCGTCTGACATTTGTTCACTTTTGATAAATGTGTCACTATAGGAGATAATGGAACATGATGAACACAACTCATGTCCAATCACTATTTTGCTAATGGTCTACTTTAAAACTTACAGGAACACAATGTTTTAAATGGACCTACAAAATGTATGGGAAAATACTGTGGATGTCAACTACTACAATGGACACAAGGTCTCAATGTATGGGGAAAATACTGTGGATGTCAACTACTACAATGGACACAAGGTCTCAATGTATGGGGAAAATACTGTGGAAGTCAACTACTACAATGGACACAAGGTCTCAATGGATACTGGGATGTCAACTACTACAATGGACACAAGGTCAACTACTACAATGGACACAAGGTCTCAATGTATGGGGAAAATACTGTGGAAGTCAACTACTACAATGGACACAAGGTCTCAATGTATGGGGAAAATACTGTGGAAGTCAACTACTACAATGGACACAAGGTCTCAATGTATGGGGGAAAATACTGTGGATGATCAACTACTACAATGGACACAAACGGAGGTCTCAATGTATGGGGAAAATACTGTGGAAGTCAACTACTACAATGGACACAAGGTCTCAATGTATGGGGAAAATACTGTGGATGTCAACTACAATACACATGGACACAAGGGTCTCAATGTATGGGGAAAATACTGTGGAAGTCAACTACTACAATGGACACAAGGTCTCAATGTATGGGGAAAATACTGTGGAAGTCAACTACTACAATGGACACAAGGTCTCAATGTATGGGGAAAATACTGTGGAAGTCAACTACTACAATGGACACAAGGTCTCAATGTATGGGGAAAATACTGTGGAAGTCAACTACTACAATGGACACAAGGTCTCAATGTATGGGGAAAATACTGTGGAAGTCAACTACTACAATGGACACAAGGTCTCAATGTATGGGGAAAATACTGTGGAAGTCAACTACTACAATGGACACAAGGTCTCAATGTATGGGGAAAATACTGTGGAATGTCAACTACTACAATGGACACAAGGTCTCAAATGTATGGGGAAAATACTGTGGAAGTCAACTACTACAATGGACACAAGGTCTCAATGTATGGGGAAAATACTGTGGAAGTCAACTACTACAATGGACACAAGGTCTCAATGTATGGGGAAATACTGTGGAAGTCAACTACTACAATGGACACAAGGTCTCAATGTATGGGGAAAATACTGTGGAAGTCAACTACTACACAATGGACACAAGGTCTCAATGTATGGGGAAAATACTGTGGAAGTCAACTACTACAATGGACACAAGGTCTCAATGTATGGGGGGAAAATACTGTGGAAGTCAACTACTACAATGGACACAAGGTCTCAATGTATGGGAAAATACTGTGGAAGTCAACTACTACAATGGACACAAAGGTCTCAATGTATGGGGAAAATACTGTGGATGTCAACTACTACAATGGACACAAGGTCTCAATGTATGGGGAAAATACTGTGGATGTCAACTACTACAATGGACACAAGGTCTCAATGTATGGGGAAAATACTGTGGAAGTCAACTACTACAATGGACACAAGGTCTCAATGTATGGGGAAAATACTGTGGATGTCAACTACTACAATGGACACAAGGTCTCAATGTATGGGGAAAATACTGTGGATGTCAACTACTACAATGGACACAAGGTCTCAATGTATGGGGAAAATACTGTGGATGTCAACTACTACAATGGACACAAGGTCTCAATGTATGGGGAAAATACTGTGGAAGTCAACTACTACAATGGACACAAGGTCTCAATGTATGGGGAAAATACTGTGGATGTCAACTACTACAATGGACACAAGGTCTCAATGTATGGGTGGAAGTCAACTACTACAATGGACACAAGGTCTCAAATGTATGGGGAAAATACTGTGGATGTCAACTACTACAATGGACACAAGGTCTCAATGTATGGGGAAAATACTGTGGAAGTCAACTACTACAATGGACACAAGGTCTCAATGTATGGGGAAAATACTGTGGAAGTCAACTACTACAATGGACACAAGGTCTCAATGTATGGGAAAATACTGTGGAAAACTACTACAATGGGATGACACAAGGTCTCAATGAAAAAAATACTGTGGGAAAAATACTGTGAAGTCAACTACTACAATGGACACAAGGTCTCAATGTATGGGGAAAATACTGTGGATGTCAACTACTACAATGGACACAAGGTCTCAATGTATGGGGAAAATACTGTGGATGTCAACTACTACAATGGACACAAGGTCTCAATGTATGGGGAAAATACTGTGGAAGTCAACTACTACAATGGACACAAGGTCTCAATGTATGGGGAAAATACTGTGGATGTCAACTACTACAATGGACACAAGGTCTCAATGTATGGGGAAAATACTGTGGATGTCAACTACTACAATGGACACAAGGTCTCAATGTATGGGGAAAATACTGTGGATGTCAAATTCTACAATGAACACCATGTTTCGACATATAGGGGAAAAATTTATGGATGTCAAATTTTAAGACGTATATGGTCCTCAACAATTGGAGCCTCCAGTAATTAAACAATCCTTTCCACCATGTCTCAACATGACCAAGTATTATGTTGGAAGTACAAAACGTGACAATGAACCATGGATAATTGTTGACACAGCTGTATCCCAACATTATACTGACAACACATTACGTTAAGACTCACCAAGCATTATAGTGTCTGGGATCTGCCCTGATGGCGTTCCTGAAGTAGGTCAATGCTTTGTCCAGCTCCTCTGTGAAGACGTACTCATGGCCTAGTAGGGTGTACGCATAGGCAAATGTTGGGTCCACCTGCGTCGCTCGCTGAAAGAACTTGATAGCTACATCATGCTCCTTTTGCAAACTGAAGCAGTTTCCTGTTGCACACCATGCCTGTTGAGGTAAACAAACAACATCTGAATTCTCCTTGATCTTTCTATCTGATAAACATTCATTCTTTCTGCAGTCTTTCCTTTGCAGACAAGAACTTAGGGATCAAATGTAGGTTTGAAATACAAGTATATTTCCAAACTGACCATTTTCTGTATAAAAGTAACATAAAGATTAGGCAAAGACATCTTTGGTCCTGATAGCTTCTGGAAGGAAAATGAGTAATATCAATCTGTTCCATGAACATCTACAAAGCCCAACTTCTATAGGAAACAGCTTTTTCTTGAATGAAAATATATTGTGTATCAAGTAATTCTTTTTGCATATTTGGGCTTCTCACTAGAATTTAATGCCATATCATGGCTAATTTAGATTATACAACATGGCTAGCTGCACTGTGCAAGTTGTTCTTGAAAAGTGCAAGCTTATGGTTATGTCTAAATGCATCTCGAAGATCTATTGCATGCTCCAAAATTTCAATGTCTTTAAAACCACTTACTATTCCACAAACAAATAAGGGTGCTGGGGAAGCCTAGTGGATGAAGCCTTCACTCATCAGCCGAGACCGCATTCGATACCCTCTACACACCCCATCTGGTGCATGCTGAAGCCTCAGTGTGTTTGATGGGACAAAATTTATTTTAAGACCAATGAGCTCCCCCACAACCTCTCTTTTAAGTGCAGGGCAGCTTAAGGCCAAGGAAGATGCTAAAAACGGCAGACGCACAACTAAATTCTATTTGCAATGAATAAATGTGGTTTGTAAACTCGTTATGACAGTGAGATGTAAGTGTCTCCTCAAGAATGGCGACTAGCGCTGACAGGCTTCATCAGTTCAACATGTTTTGGTGCATAGTCGTTTGTGTATACTGTGAAATAAACAAGAAAATGGGTGAGTTACATATCAAATTCTGAGACAGGGATTTTGGCTCGAATCGAAATCACGACTTTTCGAAATTCCGAAGACCCTGCTCCAAAAGTACTGCTTTTTTTGTGCTGTATGTCTCATTTTGTAAATTCAATTGGCTTGAAATGTGTGCAACTTTAAATAGGATAAATACAGTGAGTATTGTTGAATTTTAAAACGAACCTGGTGTGTTGATCTCATTATTTTCCTTTTATATAGTACTCAAAGTTTACATTACAAGCCCCTGTGGTTACAACTGTTGTAAGTTTTAAAATGGACATTTTAATGTTCATATGTACCCCTAGGCGGACTTTTTCTGAAAAAGAATGTGCATTACTTAGACTGAAACAGGGCCCTGCTCCACCAAGCGATCATAATACAATCCTGACTCCCAAACATAAATGACCTACAACTGTCTTTGTGGAACAGGTCTGTGGGATGTAGATGCAGTGAAATCTCTAGGTCATCCCTAGCTTGCATGCTCACGTCTCACCTCTGGCGAGTTCTTGTCAAGCTCTGTGAGTTCCTGGGCCAGTGTGGAGAGCTCCACCTCTCGCTGCAGGTGCCACAGTGTCGTACTGTAGTACTCCAGCCCCTCCATGTGATACGGCTCCAGCCGACGGAGTTCCTGGAAGATCTTCTCTGCCTGTCACAACACAAACAATATAAGTTGTCCACCAATCTCACGAGTTCACAAGGGCTGATGTACCCTTTATGTTAGTTTATGTTCCCGCACATGCTCCGGTATTGCTTAGAATATCTCAGTTTACAGCTTACAACAGAAAACAAACAGGCACTCCGAGGGAGTTATTCCCCTCAAGAAATATTTCATTTGGAAATAATTACTGTAAATCATGAAATTAATGCTAAAATGCGTCTGTACTCTTCTCGCATTATTATAATGACGATTTCAGTCTGACCATGTCTACTTTTTGAGAACTTAATAGAATTCAGAAAACGTGAAATCTCTTGTCGTGTTTCATCGCCTTCAGGTTAGCATTAATCATAAAATAAAGTATATAATAACAATTACACCAATACAGGTCACTTCCTCATTACAGGTATCTCAAGCCACATGTAATTATCACTGGTTACTGGTCATTGTTTAAAGCCACTCAAGCACATCAGCCAGACCGGACATTCTCCAGCCACTTGTTTCTTGTATCTTGGTAGATGACTTGTGTCTTTCAAGTCGGATTACGCTTTATAAATGTTGTCATAAGACAAGTAGTAGCAAGCAATCACGCGTGATCAAACATGGCAGCATAATCAAAACATCGTCCAGCTCATTTCCATTCATTGCTTAACAAAGCTCAATTCAAAGTTATTTGGTAAATAACAAGTGTGAAACGCATTAAATTTAGGACACATCATGATTTACAGTATACACATCTGGAGAATGATTAATTCAAGATTCAAAACTGCAGTGGATATGTAATATGTACTGGTCAGGTAATTAAGTTTGGAACAGAAAATGCACCTTACATGTGGAGTACACAGAAAACACACCAATGGGTCTCCTGGGCAATAAAAACTCATTAAATGTGACATTACACCATTCGCCTGACCCCACACAATCAACAACATTCACTCAACATCTGATTGTAACTGTCAAATGCACATGAGCATACAGAGCACTTACACAGGACTAGAGGATCGAGGTACAGAGCCTCAAGGGGAGACAACTATATGTTCAAAACATTTATTAATAATACCGTATATTACCATAGATAAGCTGAATTTTGAGGACCAAAAAATGCACTCTGTAGAGGGGGTTCGGCTTATCTACATGTGACATTTTCATCAAACTTTTTTTCAGAGGGGTAAGAAAACTATGTATCGCTTCACATGAACAAACAGGAGAAGACGACATCAGCAAAGATGTCAAATTTGCAATTAAACATCACTAGACAAAATTATTTACCTTTTCAGTTCTAATTTGTTTTTGCTTGGCATTGTTTCATATGCAGGGATTAAAATTACCATGTGTATTTGGCTCGTATACAGAGCCAGAAATAGCAATCAGCTGTGCACGTTTTAGCCGCAATTTACAGGTTATTTAGTTAAAACATACCCAATATTATAACGAAATGAAGTCTGATGCAGAGAAACTATTATTTTACCAAGAGAAATATATTCTAGCATCGTGTCATTTTAATTGCAGGTTTTGCTTTATAAATGTAAAATGTTTATGCTCATAACTAAGGTTATACAGCACTTTGGTGTATTGCCAGATAGTTTTATGCATGGATCAATTTGACCTGTCAACGATGACGTTTCACACGATCTCGCTATTTCCACCGTGAAAACAGTTTGTTGACATGTGTTCGTGCAGCTACAACAAATATGACCTTTAGTGAAACAAAATATGTATACGCATCCATTTTCAGTCAACTGCACTTCATTTCGAGGCGTGCGCCAACGCAATATGATAGTGATTGCTGTGAATAATGCGGGCCGAAGTTATAAATATCAGAGGATAAACTTGGGCAATTCAATATGGATTTGTTGACACTAGTTCCGATGACTAACCACAAAGGAAAAGATGGGCAAATGCTTGGGGGTCGGCTTATCTACGGAACATACCATTTTGATACTGATTTTAAGGGTCAAGTTAGGGGTCGGCTTATCTACGGTAATATACGTTACTGAATACTGCTTCTTGTTGCATTGTTCTTAAAAAGACTGACAGGTTCATGCCCAAGGTTAAACGTCACAGGGCAATGCCTGACCATTAACCTGTGACCATCTACAAATGAATTGAAACAAGTGTTTGCCACTAATATGGCAATGTCCCCGCCGCTAAAGAATGGAATATTTATAACATATTTACTACTCTTTACTTTTTGGTCACATACAAGATGCCTGAAATGACTGGTGTCTGCATAATCACCCAATGTAGGCTGTCGACATTAATGAAGATACTGGGTACAATGTTTTATAAGATATCGCGTTTACATAAGTTTGAAAAGTGTTCAAAGTGTCGTGGTGACCTTGAACATAAGGTCAAGGTCACCCAAATTGACTGGTGTCTGGGTAATCCCCCAATGTAGGCTGTCACCAAATTTGAAGATATTGGATACAACAGTGCATGAGATATCATGTTAACAACAGTTTGAAAAGTGTTCAAAGTGTCGTCGTCAACTGTCGTGGTGACCTTGAAGATAAGGTCAAGGTCAGCCAACTTGACTGGTGTCTGGGTAATCACCCCATGTAGGCTGTCACCAAATTTAAAGACACTGGGTGCAACAGTCCATGAGATTTTGCGTTAACAAGAGTTTGAAAAGTGGTCAAAGTGTCGTGGTGACCTTGAAAATAAGGTCACGGTCACCAACATTGACTGGTGTCTGGGTAATCCCCTAAAGTAGGATGTCACCAAATTTGAAGACATTGGGTACAACAGTTAATGAGATATCGCGTTAACAAGAATCGGGACATACGTATGTACCGACGCCGATGAATACATAGTCCCCGGTTCCGCGTTGTGGCGGGGGACAACAAAACAAGATCATGTCCTGTGTAACATTTATAACTAAGAGTTGCAAAACACCACCTCAAGACATACACACTTGATTCATTGAGCAACTTGCTTAAGGTTATCTACCTTTTGGTAAATTGCCCCTTCAAAGAAAGCTCGGCCCAGTTGAGACAGCACCCAGCCTGTGTTGTACTGGTGCTCAGGCAGATCGGAGAACTGTTCTACAGCCTTGCGACAGTCATACTGAGATAGTGACAGATACGCCTTGCCCAGGGCCTGCAGGAGATTCAAGATACCCGCTGAAACAGAACATTGACATTTTACACAAACAGAGAGTTACCGAAACATGGCATTCTTTTGAAGATACATTTCTGATATTTGTATCTGGAAAGCAACATCGAAAGAAAAACAATTGGGAGATAAACGCCTTAAGTTCCAAATGATTTCCTGTGCTTCAAATACTCAATAACACCCAGGAATTGTCCAACACATGATGTTTATTGACATTGCAAACACAAAAGTAAACCAAACTCCACACTCGTTTTTCAGTCTGCGCTCATTGACATCAAGCATTGAAGTACCATTAGCCGGACGTTTCGACTGGTTACCATAATAGCATTTGGAACCACTTGTAACATCATTCCGACTTCATGTCACAATATGATTTGAGTGACGTCACCACTGCAGACTACTGAACAATACAACTGTGTGCGATATTTGTACGTATTAATAGTCCTGCAATTTCAGGGAATCAAATATCATTCGATCATGTTTTCCAACAAATCAGATTAAAGAACACAGTGACTTTTGGTTTACAATCAAGTTTATTTTGATGTTTACATAATCCTTATGAAAATCACAGAGTTGCACATCATGTCTTCAAACAACACTGGTCATATCACCTGGACGTAGATGTAGGAGTGAAGTAGGAGCATTGAATATGTAATAGTGTGTGACATAGATAGTACTTACCTAATGACAAATGTAGTGGCACTAAATATGTAATAGTGTGTGACATAGATAGTACTTACCTAATGACAAATGTAGTGGCACTAAATATGTAATAGTGTGTGACATAGATAGTACTTACCTAATGACAAATGTAGTGGCACTAAATATGTAATAGTGTGTGACATAGATAGTACTTACCTAATGACAAATGTAGTGGCACTAAATATGTAATAGTGTGTGACATAGATAGTACTTACCTAATGACAAATGTAGTGGCACTAAATATGCAATAGTGTGTGACATAGATAGTACTTACCTAATGACAAATGTAGTGGCACTAAATATGTAATAGTGTGTGACATAGATAGTAGTTACCTAATGACAAATGTAGTGGCACTAAATATGTAATAGTGTGTGACATAGATAGTACTTACCTAATGACAAATGTAGTGGCACTAAATATGTAATAGTGTGACATAGATAGTACTTACCTAATGACAAATGTAGTGGCACTAAATATGTAATAGTGTGTGACATAGATAGTACTTACCTAATGACAAATGTAGTGGCACTAAATATGCAATAGTGTGTGACATAGATAGTACTTACCTAATGACAAATGTAGTGGCATTAAATATGTAATAGTGTGTGACATAGATAGTACTTACCTAATGACAAATGTAGTGGCACTAAATATGCAATAGTGTGTGACATAGATAGTACTTACCTAATGACAAATGTAGTGGCATTAAATATGTAATAGTGTGTGTGACATAGATAGTACTTACCTAATGACAAATGTAGTGGCACTAAATATGTAATAGTGTGTGACATAGATAGTACTTACCTAATGACAAATGTAGTGGCACTAAATATGTAATAGTGTGTGACATAGATAGTACTTACCTAATGACAAATGTAGTGGCACTAAATATGTAATAGTGTGTGACATAGATAGTACTTACCTAAGAACAAATGTATAGACATTAAATATATAATTGCGTATGACAGAAATAGTACTTACCTAATGACTGATGCTGCATCTGTATAATTTGGGTTTGTGTGGGTGTGTCAGAAGTCAAGGATGGCTTGCTGTCAACAGACAAGTCACTCTTGTTGATTTCATTCAGTTCTTGTTGTGACTTGCTCAGTCTCGTCTTGGACTTCCGACCTACTGCCTTCGGACTGGCAAATCGGGATTTTCCTTGACTTTTGTTGTTTTCCTGAAGGAAACACATACAAAACCTGCATCAGAGAGAGGTAATTAAAGACAGCAACTAGTCTTATATTCAGTATCTTTGACGAACTATCAATAAAATGAAATATGCATTACCTTCACAGAGCTTGAATTTCCAAACAACCGTGAACTTCTTCTAACATTTGGAATATTCCTGGAAAGAATATAAAACTCTCATAAAAATGGAGGTGGCAAGAAATGGAGCAAGCATGCAATTGAAAATTGTCATGGACAGAAATGTAAGATTACAGTAACTGTCAGTATGAACAGATGATCCACAGGTTGATGGTACACAACCAGTCATTATTACACTCATAAAATCTAACAAAGGAAAAATCTGACATTGAAATTCAATTCTGAGGTGAATTGGTGTGTGGAATTGCTACCTTTTCTTCAGTATGGATGCTGACAACGTGCCTTTGTTGTGTGTTGGCATCTTAACAAACTAGTCAGGGTTATGTCAATGACATAAAAAGAAACATGATCATATTTCAATATCATACAAATACTATCAATGTGTTATGACAGTTGTTTTTGTGGGATAGATAAGTAGGCATTTTATGTATTTATACCAATATTTCTGATTTAAAGGTTTGATTTACAGGTATCAATCCAAGAAATGATAATGTGATTGCAAAATAACAGACATCTCACCCTGTCTGGTTAGAAATGTCTCTTGTATTGGCAGTGTTCCCAGACATACTGAATACTGGAGGCTTTGGCATCTGGTTTTGATTGTGACTTCTCCGTGTGACCGGCTGCAAAATAGTTAGGGAAACATTAACTACAAATAACAAATCAGACATTCAGCTGGCCTCAGACCACAGTTACCCCCCTAAAGTTTTACCATGACCCGGAGTGAGTGAGTTTAGTTTTACGCCGCTTTTAGCAATATTCCAGCAATATCACTGCAGTGAAAACCATGACCTGGAAGCGAAATAGGAGAATATAGTGCCTTGTTTAAATGGGCTGTTCTGTGTGTGCTATTTTTTCAGGGTGACTTGTAGTAGGTTAAACAAGAATAATGAAAGGTCAGACATTGTACTTTATTGCAAAATTTGTTTGGTCCACAATCTGCACATGGTATTGACACCAGCCTTCCATGATTTGACCCCAAGTTCAAGGCTGTTTAGTGTGTTTCGGCTCGAAACTTCTGGTGACCATTGTTGACAGTGGATACAGCAAAACTGAGATGGCCAATCCAGGCCAATATTTTTCCGGTCAAGTGACAAGTGGCAGGTTGGTCAGCAAGCAACGGGAGAACCGATATCAATTATGGTGGACTGGCATCTCACTGTAGATAGCAAAGAAGGAAAATAATTGTGGTCTGAGGCCAGCTGTGCAATTGAACCTATTTCTTGAAAACCTTGAAACCTGTTTCCTAACAGCTAATGAGAGTATTACCTTCTTGCTGGGTGCCTTGGGATCAAGTGTCTGTTGTTCACTGTAGGACACAGGGCTTGGTGTGATGAAGGGCATGGTGCTGTGATCCATGGGGCTAGGCGTCTCCAGGGGCAGAATACCAAAACTACAGCAGCAACAGAACCATTACACTAACAACCAATACAGTGACATCAACAAAATCATCACAGTCACATCAACACAAACACCAGTTACTGAAACACAAACGTAACAGTTACCATGGTAACAGTCACATACCATGGTAACAACAAATCATCACAGTCACATCAACACATAACACCAGTTACACAAACACACAAACAACACAATCATCACAGTACATCAACACATTTACCAAAACACAAATCGTACATCAGTTACCATGGTAACACCATGGTAACACAAACACATAACACCATCACACAAACATAACAGTTACCATGGTAACAACACAATTATCACAGTCACATCAACACATAACACCAGTTTCCGAAACACTAACATAACAGTTACCATGGTAACATCATCACAAATATCCCAGTCACAGATACACAAAAATCAGTTACCTAAACACCAACATCAACGATCACATCACAGTCACATATGGACAAACTTCACAGTTACATTAAAATAAAGTTTGTGGCTGGCAGTCATGGGTACTTACCGGGGAGTGAGTGGGCTGTGGAACAGAGGTTTACTGTAGAGGCCCCTGGAGATGACAGACTGTGTCCGGGGGTGACGCGCTGTTGTGGGGGCAGAGGGAATGTCCACCATAGGGGGCTCTTGATTCTCGGGGGTCATGGACTGGGTCACACAGATCTGAGGGGTGGTCAAGATCACATTACCCATATCTGCACTACCGTTATGTAGGGACCAAACACAGGATGAACAACAGGTCTGTGTAAGCAGCAAGATCACAACCTATCTGTACTACCATTATGTAGGGACCAAACACAGGATGAACAACAGGTCTGTGTAAGCAGCAAGATCACAACCTATCTGTACTACCACCGCAAACACAGGATATGTAGGGACCAAACACAGGATGAACAACAGGTCTGTGTCAGCAGCAAGATCACAACCTATCTGTACTACCGCAACAGGTATGTAGGGACCAAACACAGGATGAACAACAGGTCTGTGTCAGCAGCAAGATCACAACTATCTGCACTACATCTGCACTACCGCTATGTAGGGACCAAACACAGGATGAACAACAGGTCTGTGTCAGCAGCAAGATCACAAACACCAACATCTGTGTGCACTACCCAAACACAGGATGATGTAGGGACCAAACACAGGATGAACAACAGGTCTGTGTCAGCAGCAAGATCACAACCTATCTGTACTACCGTTATGTAGGGACCAAACACAGGATGAACAACAGGTCTGTGTCAGCAGCAAGATCACAACCTATCTGCACTACCGCTATGTAGGGACCAAACACAGGATGAACAACAGGTCTGTGTCAGCAGCAAGATCACAACCTATCTGTACTACCGTTATGTAGGGACCAAACACAGGATGAACAACAGGTCTGTGTCAGCAGCAAGATCACAACCTATCTGCACTACCGCTATGTAGGGACCAAACACAGGATGAACAACAGGTCTGTGTAAGCAGCAAGATCACAACCTATGTACCAAACACAGGGGGACCAAACACAGGATGAACAACAGGTCTGTGTCAGCAGCAAGATCACAACCTATCTGCACTACCGTTATGTAGGGACCAAACACAGGATGAACAACAGGTCTGTGTCTGTGTCAGCAGCAAGATCACAACCCTCACTACCGTTATCCAAACACTGACCAGGTCTATGTAGGGACCAAACTACATGGGGATGAACAACAGGTCTGTGGTCTGTGTCAGCAGCAAGATCACAACTATCTGCACTACCGCTATGTAGGGACCAAACACAGGATGAACAACAGGTATGTAGCAGCAAGATCACAAATCTGCACTACCGCTATGACCAAACACAGGATGAACAACAGGTCTGTGTCAGCAGCAAGATCACAACCTATCTGCACTACCGCTATGTAGGGACCAAACACAGGATGAACAACAGGTCTGTGTCAGCAGCAAGATCACACCTATCTGCACTACCATTATGTAGGGACCAAACACAGGATGAACAACAGGTCTGTGTCAGCAGCAAGATCACACCTATCTGCACTACCATTATGTAGGGACCAAACACAGGATGAACAACAGGTCTGTGTCAGCAGCAAGATCACAACCTATCTGCACTACCGCTATGTAGGGACCAAACACAGGATGAACAACAGGTCTGTGTCAGCAGCAAGATCACAACCTATCTGCACTACCGCTATGTAGGGACCAAACACAGGATGAACAACAGGTCTGTGTCAGCAGCAAGATCACACCTATCTGCACTACCATTATGTAGGGACCAAACACAGGATGAACAACAGGTCTGTGTCAGCAGCAAGATCACAACCTCACCTTTATGGCCAAACTGCTCCCATCTACACACATTCTGCATCATGTACACCCGGAGCACATATGGCTTCACACCCTATCTGCACTACCATTATGAGATGGGGGTGAGGACATCGGTGATGTTCTGTGACATGTTGTGGGTGTTGGTGGGCGGGGCTGTGTGCTGGGGCACCTGGAAGACCTGGCCAGGGTCAACCTTCTCACCTGTCAAACGGAGATCAGATAGTAACAAGCTAACATCATGTAGAGAAGACAGATCAATGCCATCAGTGCTCACTCCAACAATGTCAACAATTGTGTCATGCTCTAAACCATACATTGAAGTTGACCAGTATTGCATTGTATCAAACATACTTACGGAAGATTTAAACACATCAGACATCCGCGGTACATGAAACACATCAGTCATTACAAAAAGCAGCCTGGCACTGGTTCTAAATAGCAGATATGGGGACATGTTCACATGTCAGTAGGTTGGTGGGACATTGAAAGATCACAGAGACCAGGCGGTTATCATTAGCTGCACCGCTGGCCATAACTCCTACCATCTCAGTTGAGTAATGTCACTATGAGAACATGACTGGGGCAGAGGTTATCATCAGGTACTCTGAGGAGATATTACATTTCTTTCAATGGAATGAAAAGATAACAACACTGCCTGACTGACTGAGTTTGGTTTTACGCCGCTTTTAGCAATATTTCAGCAACATCACGGCGGGGGACACCCAAAATGGGCTTCACACATTGTACCCATGTGGGGATTCGAACCCTTGTCTTCGGCGTGACGAGCCAATGCTTGAAAACTAAAACAAAAGCACTCTAAAAGACAAAACAACTCACAGGCAGTTATTACCAGGAGCACTTACCAAGTTGGCACAACCTTTCATATGACTTCCACAAAAGGGGATTGATTCGAAGACTTTTCCTGTAACATTCCGCAGCCTTCTTCACACGCTCTGTTTTACTGAAAGCAAGTATGAGTGTAACATAAGTTTACAATCATCTGGATATATGACATGTACAATTAAATCAGGACCAGACACTCTAGTGAGCAATAATGTATGCACAACCAAGTCACCAAGCCAAACCACATGATCTAACTAGCCGCCTCTAACTAATGTCTCTATGTGAGTTGGGTAATCATTTACTGCTGTGTTGAATACATCATAATCATGAAGGAACAGACAGAGTTGTCCAAACAACTTCTATCAAACCTGCCAGGACAGACACACTGTTGGAACAGACTCCCCCTTTAAGACCCATGTGCTCTGCAATTGCTAGCTGGGACATGTAGTGGAGAGTGAGAGCATTAATTCATGGAAGGTGAAATGGTGTGCAACGTCATGTTCAAGATTACTGCACATAGAGATGTACATGCATTTGCATCTGACCTCCTGTACTATGCCAGATAAATGCCAGTTTTATAGTGCTATTCCACAGAGATGATGGATAACATGGATATGTCACCATGACATACTGTACTGATGTCAGTTTAATGCTGGGCATTCATAACATTCTCACTTATAGTCTGTTTGTGTTTTTCAACAAACCTGGGACTTTCTCTACTTAGCAAATAGAACATTGATAGACACTAGTGGTGTTCTGATTAGTTGAAATAATCGAAGATTGGTCGAAGTGACCAAACGACCAAGCAATCGATCACATTTTCTCATAATCGAACACAAACAATTTTGGAACTACTGTTTTAGTGTTTGAAACATTTGACAATGGAACATATCCTATAAGTTGTCAGGGCCCGGAAACGTGTTTAATTCTTAGAAAACTCACTTAACTGAAAAGTCATGACTGAATATTTCTTGAAGACTCCAGAAAGTTAATGTTCATGATATATTACTCATCACTTTAAAGTAGCAAGTTGCATCATGTTATACATATCTACAATAACAACCTGTATAGGGAAATCTTAAAAATGACGATAACCAATTTTTTTCGATGATTGTTCATTGGTAATGAAGCAATCATCAATTGTGAGATTTCAACCAATTCCCAACACTAATAGACACAATAGCACATACTGTCTTCACAGCATGACACAGGCTCGGCTACTTCACTTACCTGTACATGTTGCCCAGGAGAGAAAAGACATGGCAAGCCATGTTGCCGAACTCATTCTCGATTTCGTCTAGAGACTTGCACCGACTGAGAATGTTGCCCGCCAGTGTATCCTCAGCCTCCGCATACCTTCAACACAACACATTTGTACACTGGAATCCAAAACCCAGAACATCTGTTGGTGATAGATAAACACCTTCCATTAAGTTAATCCACCATATCACAATACATGATAAGACCTAAGAAACCAATCTAGTTCCTCATGGTCCTGCAATGTGTCCAATTTATGGGGACATTCCAAGGTATTTGTCATGTTGTACTCCCCTTTTGTTACAAAACAATACAGAGTACTTGAAAATACATTTGTCATCCCAAACTAGGAGATACCAAGCAATATCTCCTAGCACCTTAATGAAATATATCACAATGATTTGCAGGCCACTGAAATGTAATTGGTTATCTTCATGTCAAAATCAAACGACATTACCAATCTCTCTGCCACTGTAGCTGGTGAAATGTACTTCTTACAACTCAAGGAATTGCTTATTACTTAAAAAAGTTGGAAGATGGAAGTTGGAGGACAAATAGCATCTCTCTGGAGTGGCTTTTATCATTATCTGTATCAACATTTGTAAATAAAAGATCAAAATTCCTCTGCAAGTGTCTTGAGTTAAACTTTTATCTAAAGGTGCTGACATCAAAAGACATCTCTTCATGTATCAAACACATGGAACATTTACAGTAGTTCCCCCCAAAAGTAAGTGAGTGAGTGAGTTTAATTTTACGCCGCACTCAGCATTATTCCAGCTATTTGGCGGCGGTCTGTAAATAACTGAGTCTGGACCAGATAATCCAGTGATCAACAGCATGCGCATCGACCTGCACATTTTGGGACCAAAAGGTAAGACAAATCTTACATAGTTAATGATTTTTTATTAATCTTTACACACACCTACCCACCCTATTTCTAAATAAAACTGGTATAATAAGACACATATTGTTTAGACCGCCCCAAATCAAATGTGCTTTGGTAAAACTGCATTGTGGTGGATGTGTGTGGATGAAGTCCTTACTTCTGGATGTCCATGCAGCACTTGGCCATCAGGTACTTGCACTGAGGGGTGGGGCAACCCCGCTTCTGGAGCAGCATGTATGTCTGGATGGGTCTGCCTGACCGGTAATAGCATGTTGCCAACAGGTGAAGCGCCTCATCTGACGACACTGGAAATACACCATTGAAATATAAGGAGTGCCAAACTGAATTTTACTGTAGCTTTTGATAATTAACTTAAAGCCAGATCTGCAATATTACAACCACATCATGCATATTGTCACGGTGTGGGGACAAGTCATTTGTGATGTAGTCTTGACAGGCTAGGTACGGTTTAATCTACAACTATACTATATTGTCTGGGTGTGGGGACAAGTCATTTGTGATGTAGTCTTGACAGGCTAGGTACAGTTTAATCTACAGCTATGCTATAGTCATGCTCTGTGAGGAACTTTTGGAAAACTAACATGAAACAGCGGCATAAAAACTATCAATCAATGACATTCTCATGATTCTGTAAATTCAACAGTATCAAAATATCATGGACAGTTAATTTATGTAAACACCATATTGAACATGTTTTGTCCAGCACAGAATATCAGCTGCAACTACAGTAGTTCTTCCCTGTTATTGTTTATATCATAGTAATAATGCTAGTTTGACTAGCATAGTTTGATCAATATCATCATCTCAACTCACCTTCGGCATACAGCCTCTCAGCAAGGAATGTGGCATCGCTGTAGGCATAGTGATTCAAGGCATCTAAGATGGCAGCCTGAAAATCAAAAGGCTTTATGTATATTTTGATCACTATTTTTGTCATTCCCTGTTGATACATAATGGGTAACTAATTTCTATCAGGATCATATGATGTGTATCTGTCTCTAAGTTTAATTTACATTCTATTCGTATGTTCAATTGATGCTAGTTGAATGAACCAAAGTTAACTATGATTTGAGTGAAAACCCGTCCTGAACCGAGTCATTTCGATAGACCAGGTGAGTTAACTTCAAGTCTTATATACAACTGAAACCATGGTAACACAGGAGTGTCCTCAAATACCTTTCTCACTCAGCAGGCATGTTGTGAGAATCAGCATACTGACATTACTGACAAGAGCAAACTGAAGTCAGCTGTTAGTTTCATTGAGTGACTGTATTCAACAAATCCCAATCTGTTCAACATGTCAGATCTCTTGATTATTATACACCACTCAACATTTGCTAAGAACCAAAAATGTCATCTGCATTGAAAGAAGTTGGCCTTGTCAGGTTTTGGATAGTGCATTATCAGGATGACATAATTATCTGCACGTGCAGTAACAAACCAAGTCATTGAATCTGACAACCCAATCATATTTGGTTGCCTTTTATGACCAGCCTAGGATGATGGGTAGCTGGTCTTGCCTGGAATCTCCACAGGGATACCAGCACAGGCAGCTTGGGAGGTGTCTAGTTTAACAGGGCAGGATTGTTGATTTACAGGTTTTCCAGAAACAAAATATCTGGTGCCAGTTGTTAAGGAACATGTATGAAAGTGTGCCAGATTGGTTCCTTTCATCCAAGCATGTCCGACTGTACAAGACATGTTTTCCTACTTTTGTAATGATCATGATTGCAAAGCATTTCTGGCAAACGTGAAAATAATGAAAAATGTGTACATTTTGTAAGAACATATTAATGAGTGAGTGAGTGAGTTTAGTTTTACGCCGCACTCAGCAGTATTCCAGCTATATGGCGATCTGTAAATAATCAAGTCTGGAGCAGACAATCCAGTGATCAACAGCATGAGCATCGATCTGCGCAATTGGGAACCGATGACATGTGTCAACCAAGTCAGCGAGCCTGACCACCCCGATCCCGTTAGTCACCTCTTACGACAAGCATAGTTGCCTTCTGTGGCAAGCATGGGTTGCTGAAGACCTATTCTACCCCGGATCTTCACGGGTCGTAAGAACATATTAAACAGATATACAATCCATGTAATGTGACAAAATGTGGTTCACGTCTGGCTCAAGCATTTTTGTAGATTCACAAACCAGACCCTCATAAGAACCGACGCATAGAAACTTCTGGATTTTTTCAAATATTTTTATAATTGCATCTTATTTACAAAACTTAATAAACAATGTTGAGTTTAGCAATAAAGAAAATTTATTATCACTGACTGACTGTGCTGATGATTTGCTCTTGTGAATAAGGTCCAAGGAAACATTTTCGATTTTGAAGTTGTTTTTTAATCGAATGACAAGTGAGGATATGTATATCATGTGACAGTCATGTACTAGCAAGGTTGACTCATCTAACATAGTCCGACTCCTAGTAACTTACAATGGTTGCAAGTCATGCCAGAAGTCTATCATCTGGGGAAATGGCTGATTTTGCATACCACTTGTTAAGTTTGAACACATTTATGCCTCGGACAAGGCAAGCTTTGATATTGACGTAGATTATAAGGTGCTGAAGTATTAATTTGGCCCCTTTAAGTCATGCTTACAAAATGATGTAGACTTGGGCCAAGATTTTCGAAGCTCTCTTAGAGCTAAGATAGTTGTAAGTTAATGTTAATGTATGCCACTTACAACCATCATGACACAAGGAGAGCTTTCAAAAATCAAGGTCTTGATGATGTATTATCAGTTAGGTTAATTTTAATCAAGCTCACAAAGTGGACACAATTTATGGCTAACAACTTATATAGATCCTCTTACTGTCATCCAAAATTCAGACATGAAAGCAAATAGAAGAGAGACTGGTAACAAAATATATGATCTTATTATAAATAGGATTTTCATAAAATTCTTAGGAATTGGGACATCTTATTCCAATTGTTGGAACTTTTACTGTTACTTGCAGTAAACATGGGGCCAAATATTGGTTGGTTCATTTGTTGTTTAAAGCCGCACTCAGCAATATTTTAGCTATATGGCAGCGGTCGGTAATAATAGAATCTGGACCATGTAATGGGATACGATGACATGTCAACCAAATAGTCTCAATCAGCATGCCAACTGTAATCTTCAAACATATGAAATACTCATAGTCATAATGAAGCGTTGAACAATATTTTGGTTAAGACTTCCTTAAAAAGTTAGCTATTCAAAAATACTTTTTCAAAATTCCCCATCCATAATCAACATCATTAGAACATTGACTTCTGTGAACATTACAAGTGAGTTACCATGACATGTTCACTCCTGCATGTACAGCATGTCAATTCAATAGACAAGTTTAAGGATAAGTTTCAAGTTCTTACAATGACTGTTTACATATCATGTTCATACTTGCAATAGTATAAAAAGGTGTTCATTTATTTGAATTAAGAAAACACTTTGAAATTATAAAGTCTAAGGGCAAAACAAGTACTTGAAAACATTAATGCTAGTGTTGTTATGCAAAAGAAAACAAATATAAAAAAGTGGATAACTACTATTCATGAATTACATTTTAAAAACACACTTCATAGAAATCGACATAGTCTTGATCCTTCAACAACCAATTAATCAGATGCATGCACTACAAATAACAGATTCAGAGCGATCTGTTTCGATATTTACAAGTTTAGGGCGACGGCTGCTTGACAGGTGCCCTTTCGTTGCAACAGCTGTGTTGGGACGACACCCGTTTTATCATACATAGATACCAAAACCTACACCAATAAAAAAAATAAAATGTTGATCTCCCCCACGTGTTATTGTCACCAAATTACCACATTTGACCTCCACAAGATATGAAGAACAACCCGCATAACCTTCTAACGCGAAATCATAACAAAGATGGGCATACGCCATTTTCTATTTCATAAATCAGAATGTTTGTCACCGATTTTCGTTGCTATTGCAACTACGGAGAAAGAACCAGTGGCATATATGCTGACAAAATACACTACTAAATATATCAGTATTGCTACATAAAGCTTAAATAATTTGCAATTACCTGTACTGGCTCTTGTAAGAGCATTTTGGTTGTCTGTGTGTCACTGGCAGCTCATATCCCAATGTAGACCGCCATGACAGTTAACCTCGTTTTGGTTTGTCTTGCGAACGAAGGGGGTATTCCTACCAACCAATTACTGTCCATTATCTTTGAAAAGCTTCACATGGATTAACTTAACGAGACACTGTCACAACACAGTAAACGCATGTTAATACTGACATTGTTCTTAATTAAAGGACATGTTTTGTCAGTGAACAGTTCTTAAATTGTTTAAATCAGTCATTGTTTGAATTTGAACTGTGTTGACATTGTGTTCAGTCCCAAACTGGCACACATGCGCTCGTCTCCAAGGTAACGTCATAAATGGTTTGCAGCGTTTGTTTAGCGTTGGGTAGAATACAACCTTGTTTAGAACTGTGTTAGAGAAGGAACGAGAACTATTCATGTCAATATACTGATACATGGCCAATGCAAATACATGTAACAAGGCTTGTTCAAAATTCCTATTTGTTGAGTATATTTTGCAGAAGTTTACACAGTGCACATTCTCTCTTTCTCACCCCAGCTTCCCTCACTCAAGGATGCGTATGATCATCTTAAGTTGATATTTTGTGTAAACATTGTGAATAGTTGAAACGACAGAATAGCATGAAAAAAATAAGAACAAAGAGAAGGCTAATGCAATATTGTGTATTCACAGTAATGCAATATTGTGTATTCACAGTAATGCAATATTGTTTAAAGTGGGCGTAATAAAGGGGTAGTACCTTCGCCATGGAATTTGTTTTCATAACACGGGTGCCATAGTGGCTTGTTTGCACTGAGTTTTGAACAAACCATACTTGATGTACAGTTTCAAGATTGCAACAACAACGTCTCAGTTCACATGAAACATACTAGCATAGCTACCATTACTTGAATCTTACACATAGACATTCATTAGTTCCAAACATTTATCACTGGCGTCTTTGCCGCCACGATGTGATACACATGGCCCGTACATGACCCACGTGGCCAGGGGGCGGCAGGGGGCTTATTCTCATTGAGTTTTACGGCCATTTACTCTACATACATGAATGACAAATTAAAGCAAATATAGGATAAGTACTAAAGGAAAAAGCTTGCACATAGACATTCTGTGACGCAGTGCTAAACAGAGGTTAATACTGTGGACCAAACACTCCTAATTCTCTACCTACTTATCGCGACAAGTGCAGATTATCTGTTTGTAGTTGAGTTTTCCACTATTGCACAACAATTGGGCCCACAGCACATCTGTATATGTTACTGAATATATTTATCACCTTAGGGTAGGTATTTTGCTTCAATTCACCATCAAACATTGGTATATATACCATTCTTTTGACCATTATTATACTTTTGTTTTGTCAACATAATCCGCATGTAAGAGAATTGAACATCTCAAAAAGTAAGAATAATTTGTACAGACCGAGAAGGGTTTTGAAATCTAGACACTTTATATAGACCTTTCTCACACATTATGTAGACTAATTTAAACGCCGTTCTGTAAAATAATGTGGAGTAGATTACTTTCTACAAAGTAGCATATGGTTTTTCTACAAAAGTAACCCATGGTCACCCATTTGAAAATGCAGGTATGCCAATAACGATCAAAGTGTACGATGTCAGGCCATCTGGTCTGTACGACACACAATACTGCATATATCAGTTTGTTGCCCGGATGCGATGAGCGATGTATTACTCTGCCGACTCTAATTATATAATTAACTACTTATTGCGGTAATTGTATGTTATTGTTTGAAGTTGAATTCGCCTCTGTTGCAGTACAATTAGTGCGGTAACGAGGCGAGGCTTAATCAGGCCGATTTCACCTGATCAGTAGGGAGTCAATGGTTTTCAGTGGAGACAATTTTATAGACTGGGTCTACATCTTTACGTAGCTTTGAATGTAACATATGTTATATCTGGGATTACACTTTCTGAGTAAAGTACATATTTTAGTACTTTGTTTACACGATTACTTAATTCTGTTATATGGCCAGTTATCATTATTTGTTCGGCTGATATATAAAATCTTTCTTGGATGACATCACAAAAGTAGTGAAACCCGCCTCTAAATTTCCGTGAAGAAATCAGTTTAAATAAAATTTATGTCGTTTTACAACCTCACGGTAAGCGTTGATGACCAGGCTCAAGCAGACCACAACATGCCCAGGGCAACACAGTCTGGAAATATGCCGTGTTTATATGAAATCAGAAATAAGTATTTTTTCTTGTAATAAAGTTGAAGTCGAAGAATCCTGTGATCTGAGTGAATGATTGAAGTCAAGTTACGCCGCTCGTAGCAATATTCCAGCAACATCATGACGGGGGACACCAGAAATGGGTTTCACACATTGTGCCCATGTGGGGAATCGAACCCGGGTCTTCGGCGTGACGAGCAAACGCGTTAACCACTAGACAACCCCACCGCCCCTTTACAGAAAGAACCCGTGAAGATTCGGGTTAAAATTGATCTTCAGTAACCCATGCTTGTCGTAAGCGGCGACTAACGGGATCGGGTGGTCAGGCTCGCTGACTTTGGTGACACATGTCATCGGTTCCCAGTTGCGCAGATTGATGCTCATGCTGTTGATCACTGGGTTGTCAACAACAACCAAACCAAATGATTGAGTGAAGAAGGAGAGAATATACGCCGGACATTTCAAGGGACATAACCAAGGGACATAATCTCTGCCAACATGATGGAGTCACAGTCTTAACAGAGGAACAAACGAATCTATACCTGTCAGTTGTGTTTATGTTGGAGGGGCGGTGGGGTAGCCTAGTGGTTAAAGCGTTGGCTCGTCACGCCGAAGACCCGGGTTCGATTCCCCACATGGGCACAAAGTGTTAAGCCCATTTCTGGTGTTCCCCGCCGTGATATTGCTGGAATATTGCTAAAAGCGGCGTAAAACTAAACTCAGTCAGTCAGTCAGTTTATGTTGGACTGTCAGTTGATACTGTATCTGTCTCAAGTTATGGATAGCATGTAGAAAATGAATTTGAAATGATTAGTTAGCACTCCTAAAGAGAACACTTCCATATGATTATTTTGTAAAACATAACTTGATTTAAAACTTTTAAATGTTCTAAAAATACATATAGAGTCGCTTGTGGGTATTTTAGATATCCCAGTTTTGTAAATCAATGCGTTTGCTTTTTTCCCCGGTAGGCATTTACAACATTTCCAGCCTGAAGGAGTTACGTGGCAGCAATTAATTAACTAAATAATTAGTTTCCTTTTTTCCATGTCATAAGGTTTGTCTAGCGTCCCACTCTATATAAAATGTTTTCCGGGGTCCATTCAAGTCTGATAAATCATTTTGCTTTTCTTTATATGTTTTGTGAATGTGATGGAAGGAAATTACCAGTTAAATTACATTAACTCAAATAACAATACCAGTTATTTAAAGACAAGGAAGAAATTAATAAAACACTCTGAATAAAACAACAACAAACAAACAAGCAGATTCAAAGATTATTGCTTAAATACTGCGAAGCAAATGAGGCAAATTAGCGTATTCAAATTATCGTATTGAAATAGACACAGGTCTTTACTGTCTGCTAATTGTTCCATACACTGTATAAATGCACATTTTTGCATGTCCGAGTTATAAATATGACCCATAATAGTGGACAATTTTAGAAAATGGGAATTTAAAATCGTCCCCATGAGTGTTTGGTTAGGATCGAACACGCGTCGTGTGGTATGCAGTATCTTCGTCGTGTGGACTGCAGGTTTCCTACGCCTAAAGAGAGTTATCTACCTTATATCAACAAAGCCATGCGTTTGGTCACACTGGGTATACGGTTGACGAACCGGACTGCTGGTACTCCTATTTTGTTCAAATTACTGGCTGGTCATACTTAGACGGAAAACATTAGCTTAACATTGTTAAATAGTAGAATGAATATTGCAGCAGATTGTGTTTGTTGTGAGTGTTCACGTCTTTAGGTATATGGATATACAGAGGTCATAACGCGGGTGTGTTTGGGATGGTAGATAGCTTATGTTAGGACGGGCACGTATGAAGGGACAGAGTTGGGGCGTGCGTTCGAATCCATGTTTGAACCGAAGCAAAATGGCTTGTGGGCACAATATCCGTGTTCGTGGTTTGCGCGAAAGTAGCAAAAACTCCTTTGTTTCCCTTCCATATCAAGCTGACAGGCAGTTAACTGAGTTAAACCCAGCTCACTCACTGGCTGTAGTAGGAATAAATATTGACACAGGAATTATGACATCACACCATCTGAACACTGTTGACAATGTGACCTTTGAACATGTTGATGATTTACCGTTTGACAATGTTGACAACGTACTCTTAACGTTTAATAGTTACTAATTACCAGATTACAATCACGATACCGATTCCAACATCCTGGAGACACATGTGGTGCCATCTGCGACATGGATGTGTTTGCGCCACCAACACAAGAACACACAGGGCACGTGTTGCTCCTGGGCGCCACCAAGAACAGAACACACAGGGCACGTATTGCTGTTGGGCGCCACCAAGAACAGAACACACAGGGCACGTGTTGCTGCTGGGCGCCACCAACACAAGAACACACAGGGCACGTGTTGCTGCTGGGCACCAACAACACAAGAACACACAGGTATTGCTGCTGGGCGCCACCAACACAAGAACACACAGGGCATGTCTTGCAGCTGGGCGCCACCAACACAAGAACACACAGGGCACGTATTGCTGCTGGGCGCCACCAACAGAAGAACACACAGGGCATGTCTTGCAGCTGGGCGCCACCAACACAAGAACACACAGGGCACATGTTGCTGCTGGGCGCCACCAACACAAGTACACACAGGGCACGTGTTGCTGCTGGGCGCCACGAACACAGGAACTCACAGGGCACGTATTGCTGCTAAGCACCACCAACACAAGAACACACAGGGCACGTGTTGCTCCTTGGCACCACCAACACAAGAACACACAGGGCACGTATTGCTGCTAAGCACCACCAACACAAGAACACACAGGGCACGTATTGCTGCTAAGCACCACCAACACAAGAACACACAGGGCACGTGTTGCTCCTCGGCACCACCAACACAAGAA